TAATAGTTGTTCTCTAATTGATTTTAGTATTTTATCAAATATTTAGGAATCTTTAAAATCTTAATATTCAAATTTATTATTATTTATATTAAAATTCTCTGCCCAAAATATAATAATCGATAAATAGAGAAATAATTATTTTATTTAATTGACTCGTCATATAATGACTAATTAAGTATTATTATCATAAATTAAATTAATTTTTAATGCCTAGTGTGCTATCCAAAATTCCTATGCCTTAATCATTTCAAAATAAGGCACTTTCAGGAGCTTTATTAGTTTTAATATTAATGATTGTAAAATCGAAAAAAGAGGCATCATCTCCTAGAAAGATACCTAGAAGATAAGGCTAAGGGAATGTTGATAAAGTATTTATAAACAGAATCTTGGATCTATTGAAAATTGTTATTCCTTCAATTAAAAGCATGGAAGTATTTGATTTGAGTGTTCTAACAGTGTTTTTATTCATTCGTACTATGATGAGTATTTATATCTCATCTTTGAATGGTAGAATAGTTAAAACAATTATTAATGGTGATTTGTAAAAGTTTATAAAAAAAGTATGAATCAATAGTTATATATAGATTGTTTAATTAGGTTTAGTAGCTATTCCTGCAAGTTTTGTTAATAGTTATTTAGAATATCTAAATAAATCACTTTCTTTAAGATTTAGAAGGAGATTAACTGAATACTTCCATGATTAATACATAAAGAATATGATCTTTTATCAAGTTTCCAATTTAGATAGTCGAGTTACTAATCCAGATTAGAGATTAACAACAGATATAGAAAAGTGGGCTAATTCATTATCTCAAATTTACTCCAATTTTTCTAAACCTATTTTAGATATATTTTTATTCTCAAAAAAATTAGCAGTTTCAATTGGTTATTAAGGACCTATGTATGTGTTCCTATGGTATTTCTTTTCTGGAGTTTTATTAAAACTAGTATCTCCAGCATTTGGTAAATTAACTGCAATTGATTAAAAATTGGAAGGTGAATATAGAAGTGTACATAGTCAATTGTTATATCATGCAGAAGAAGTTGCATTTTTATAAGGATAAAATTGGGAAAAACTTAAGATTAATTAATCATATTAATAACTAAATAAACATTAAATTGTTGTAAATAAACTTAGATTATTTATGGGAATCTTTGATGGGCTTCTTGTTAAATATGGTGCAGTTATGGCAGGATATGGAATTATGGGATTACCAGTATTTGGACCCAATAGAGAAGAATATTTAAAAAAAATTGGAAATGATAAAAGTGCTATTACTAGAGATTATGTAAGTAATAGTTCACTTTTAATTAATTTGGCTAAAGCAATTGGTAGATTAGTTGTCAGCTATAAGGAAATATAATAATTGGCTGGTTACACAAGAGTTGTTTATGAAATAAAGGAAGTATTATCTGATTTGACATCTGGATATTATAAAAGAACTTAGGTATAATAGGAAAATGAAACAGGATAAGTAGTAATTGATTAAGGAAAGCATTAAACAATATAATTAGATAAAGGCTAAGTAAGTTAATATTTAAACAATAGATTATTTAAACTGATGATATTATTGAATTTGAAAATGTACCTATTATTTCTCCTAATGGAGATACTCTTATTAAAGGAATGAATTTTAAAATTATTCCAGGAATGAATGTTATTATAAGTGGACCAAATGGATGTGGTAAATCATCTCTTTTTAGAATTTTGGGAGCATTATGGCCAGTTTAAGGAGGTACCTTATATAGACCTGCTATTGATAAATTATTTTATATTCCTTAAAGACCTTATTTACCTCCAGGAACTCTAAGAGATTAAATTATTTATCCTCATACAAAACTATAAATGTTAAGAAGAAAAATTAATGATTAAGATTTAATTAAATTATTAGAAGATGTTTAATTAGAATATCTTGTTTATAGAGAAAGAGGTTTAGATGCAGCAAATGATTGGAATGATGTATTAAGTGGAGGAGAAAAATAACGTATTGCTATGGCTAGATTATTCTATCACAAACCATAATATGCTATTTTAGGTATTCTTATTTATATCTTTAAATAGATGAATGTACATCTTCTGTTAGCATGGACATAGAAGCAATTATGTATAATAAAGCTAAAGCTTTAAATATTACTTTGTTTACAGTATCACATAGATAATCATTATTTAAATTTCATGAATATATTCTTAAATTTGATGGAGAAGGAAGATATTGGTTTAATAAATAAAATATTTGAGAATTAAATATAAATAATAAATAATAAATCAATTTTATCTATTTTAATAGTTGTTCTCTAATTGATTTTAGTATTTTATCAAATATTTAGGAATCTTTAAAATCTTAATATTCAAATTTATTATTATTTATATTAAAATTCTCTGCCCAAAATATAATAATCGATAAATAGAGAAATAATTATTTTATTTAATTGACTCGTCATATAATGACTAATTAAGTATTATTATCATAAATTAAATTAATTTTTAATGCCTAGTGTGCTATCCAAAATTCCTATGCCTTAATCATTTCAAAATAAGGCACTTTCAGGAGCTTTATTAGTTTTAATATTAATGATTGTAAAATCGAAAAAAGAGGCATCATCTCCTAGAAAGATACCTAGAAGATAAGGCTAAGGGAATGTTGATAAAGTATTTATAAACAGAATCTTGGATCTATTGAAAATTGTTATTCCTTCAATTAAAAGCATGGAAGTATTTGATTTGAGTGTTCTAACAGTGTTTTTATTCATTCGTACTATGATGAGTATTTATATCTCATCTTTGAATGGTAGAATAGTTAAAACAATTATTAATGGTGATTTGTAAAAGTTTATAAAAAAAGTATGAATCAATAGTTATATATAGATTGTTTAATTAGGTTTAGTAGCTATTCCTGCAAGTTTTGTTAATAGTTATTTAGAATATCTAAATAAATCACTTTCTTTAAGATTTAGAAGGAGATTAACTGAATACTTCCATGATTAATACATAAAGAATATGATCTTTTATCAAGTTTCCAATTTAGATAGTCGAGTTACTAATCCAGATTAGAGATTAACAACAGATATAGAAAAGTGGGCTAATTCATTATCTCAAATTTACTCCAATTTTTCTAAACCTATTTTAGATATATTTTTATTCTCAAAAAAATTAGCAGTTTCAATTGGTTATTAAGGACCTATGTATGTGTTCCTATGGTATTTCTTTTCTGGAGTTTTATTAAAACTAGTATCTCCAGCATTTGGTAAATTAACTGCAATTGATTAAAAATTGGAAGGTGAATATAGAAGTGTACATAGTCAATTGTTATATCATGCAGAAGAAGTTGCATTTTTATAAGGATAAAATTGGGAAAAACTTAAGATTAATTAATCATATTAATAACTAAATAAACATTAAATTGTTGTAAATAAACTTAGATTATTTATGGGAATCTTTGATGGGCTTCTTGTTAAATATGGTGCAGTTATGGCAGGATATGGAATTATGGGATTACCAGTATTTGGACCCAATAGAGAAGAATATTTAAAAAAAATTGGAAATGATAAAAGTGCTATTACTAGAGATTATGTAAGTAATAGTTCACTTTTAATTAATTTGGCTAAAGCAATTGGTAGATTAGTTGTCAGCTATAAGGAAATATAATAATTGGCTGGTTACACAAGAGTTGTTTATGAAATAAAGGAAGTATTATCTGATTTGACATCTGGATATTATAAAAGAACTTAGGTATAATAGGAAAATGAAACAGGATAAGTAGTAATTGATTAAGGAAAGCATTAAACAATATAATTAGATAAAGGCTAAGTAAGTTAATATTTAAACAATAGATTATTTAAACTGATGATATTATTGAATTTGAAAATGTACCTATTATTTCTCCTAATGGAGATACTCTTATTAAAGGAATGAATTTTAAAATAATTCCAGGAATGAATGTTATTATAAGTGGACCAAATGGATGTGGTAAATCATCTCTTTTTAGAATTTTGGGAGCATTATGGCCAGTTTAAGGAGGTACATTATATAGACCTGCTATTGATAAATTATTTTATATTCCTTAAAGACCTTATTTACCTCCAGGAACTCTAAGAGATTAAATTATTTATCCTCATACAAAACTATAAATGTTAAGAAGAAAAATTAATGATTAAGATTTAATTAAATTATTAGAAGATGTTTAATTAGAATATCTTGTTTATAGAGAAAGAGGTTTAGATGCAGCAAATGATTGGAATGATGTATTAAGTGGAGGAGAAAAATAACGTATTGCTATGGCTAGATTATTCTATCACAAACCATAATATGCTATTTTAGGTATTCTTATTTATATCTTTAAATAGATGAATGTACATCTTCTGTTAGCATGGACATAGAAGCAATTATGTATAATAAAGCTAAAGCTTTAAATATTACTTTGTTTACAGTATCACATAGATAATCATTATTTAAATTTCATGAATATATTCTTAAATTTGATGGAGAAGGAAGATATTGGTTTAATAAATAAAATATTTGAGAATTAAATATAAATAATAAATAATAAATCAATTTTATCTATTTTAATAGTTGTTCTCTAGTACGTTCTCCATTCTTATGATTAAAATTTTTCTTTTTCCATACTGTCTCAAAAAATTATTGTAAATATTATCAGATGATTAAGTTGATTATAAATTGATAATTTTAATTTAAATCTTGTTAAACCTAGTTTCTTGATAATTACTCTTATTTAATTTTTGGTTATATTGTATAGGTAATTTATTTAACTTGATAAACAATATTCATATCATAAAAATTTTGAAAATCCCATTTAGATATTAAATTTAACTTCATAGATTTAAATTTTATAGAATATAAATTAAAAAATTCTAGATCAAAATTTTATTTTATCTTAGACTGATTTCGGGAACCAATATGATAGCCACAGTATTCCATACTAGAGAGTACTCAAAGTACTTTCGACTTTTGGATTACTTCTCAATTTAATTTGCCTATATATTCAATTTTCTTACCTATAAGAATCAATATAAACAACAATAATCATATTAAAAGTAAAGTAAGTTAACAAAAAATAAAAAAGGATCAAAAATAATGTAGTTAATATTTAATTATTTTCTAATAATTTTCGAACATCATAAGAGTTCATTACCATTTAGAGTAGTGAAGTAAACGCTGTATCAAAGGAACTAAATTCTGATGAATATGGTCCTTATAAGGATCTCATAATCATACAAAAACTTAAAAGAATTAGGAGCAATATTTTAAAGCTGATCATAATCTAGAGATATTAAAATTATATTGATTCTATTAAATTAAGCATACTTTCAAAAATTCCTAAAAATAATAAGCTTCTAAATATAAGTGCAGCCACACATAAACCTAAATAGTAAAAATAATTTTAATATGTTTAAGCAAAGTTTCCAAAATCTTCAAAATCCTCAAATTCAATCATATTTTTTGGATTTTATTCATTAGATAGTAACTGAATGGCTTATGATATACTAACAAAGTTTGTATACAAAACTAAAATATTCATGAGAAAAATAAGGGATATAAAGTATGTTATAATATTTCTGAATTTTGTTTAATCAGATTTGATACTTTGAATTTCTTTACTAAAAGTGATAATTACAAATACTATGTATACAGATAAGCAGATAGAAAAAAATAGTTTAAAGTATGTCAATATTTGAATTTCTTACTTATTTTTGTCAAGGTTAGCTAATCGAAAATATTTAATTTTTGGGGAGTTTGGATGGATTCCAAGATTCGTATTTTCACAAAGTAACTCAATAAAAAAGAAATTTGAGTCCAATTTACTTTTAATAGTAAAAGTGATAATAAGAGCCAATGTATTAACATTAAGATATTCTTTATTTTAGAACATTTCATATGTAATTTCTTATCTATAATGTGGTATTGTTTATTAAGATTTTTTTAAATCTTTAATGTAACCAGTTTAATCATATTCACCAAACTTTCCTTTAATTACTCTATTAATAGAAATATCATTTTTAGATTTAAATTGCATCCATTCTTTATTTCCTTCAGATAGTATATTTGTTTCGATTGTATCAATATTTTATTATTCGTAAAAGCACTTTAATCTATTCGATATATCAGTTCTAACTGTAAATTAACATTCCTTTTCTTTGACTTTGATATTTCTAAACCTAATAGCTCCAATTAAATCATAGTACTAATTGAATTGAGATTATTTATTACATAGTTAAAAAGGAAATTTACTAAAATCATTAAAGTAACTAAAAATGCCATCTAAAGTAGAGATATTTTAAAATTCTTAATTTTTACCTAGTTTTAAAACAGCCTCTATTTAATTAATATGGCTCTAAATTACAGCTTAATTTGGAATAAGAGAATATTGCATACAATTTAATATCAATAGGATTAAAATCAATAAAACTACCAAAATGTTATAGTCATCAATTTTTAAACCTTTTCTTTTTAAATTTTTTTAGTCTCTAAGATCCAATTCAAATGTATCAATTTAAAACATTTTTTATAGCAAAGGAAATCGTTTAATAAAGCTATAATAACTTTTTGTTAAAGATTATTTCATTTTCAATATCATATTACTTATTACAAAATTTGCATCATCTAAACTAAGATCACCAGAAATTGAATTTTACAATTATTGATGAGCTAATTAACTATCTTCAGCTTGAATTGTGTAATTTACAAGTGTTTAATCTTTGAAAGTTCTACTTAAAAATTAGCTTGCAGTTTAAGATTCATTTGCTTATGTATAGGTATCTCCTTTTTCTTAATGAGATTAAAATTTAATAATCTTTTTTTTAAGAATTGCATTAACATATTTTTCCTTTTCAAATCTCTACTCAAAATTTTCACAATATCTTTCAATTAATTCTGTATTTGGTATTTTAGTAAAATCAGGAGCTAAAAATTCATATTTTCTCATTTTGATCTGATATTAATTTTAATCCTAATTAAAAGTTTGTGGTGCAAATAAATTATCAAACTCAATTATATTCCAATATTAAAGACAAATAAGTTTTAAATTATCAAAAGTATCAGATTTTGAATATCTAAAAGTAATTGTGACATAATCTTAATTATCTGCTGTCCTTTAATTTACCTTATTACGTAATTTAGGATCTAATAATTTAACAAAGCATTGGATTTATATTGCATGAAATTTAACCATTGGAGAAATATATATTTTCTCATTATCATTTTCAATCTCTTAATTTTGATTAAGTTCTTATCCAATACAACTTTCAAAATATTAAAAATACTTTTCCATTGAATTTGAAAAATATTCCTAAGAAATCTTTTATTTATATAGAAACTACTTTTAATTAAGAGTCTTTTAATATTGTTATAAACTAATAATAAATTAATAGGTTAATTACTTATAAATTGTAGTAGATGAGTTAGATTTTTATTCATTATTCTGAGATTTAACTTCATTTAATTCAAGCTCCTTGTTTATTTCAAAAATTTTTTCAACATTTCTTAGATCTCTTAATTTCAATTTGATTTCATTATCTATAAAATTATTTCTTTTTTATTTCATTTCAATTAATTCCTCTAATTCTAAGACTTTTGTTTGATGTGCAAGTATTTACTTTTACAACTTCTGATAATGATTACTTTAATTGTCAATTTGCTAATCTATTTAATTTTCTTATTTTCGTTTTCTCATTTTATTATATTAATTTCATTTTCAAATGGCAGATGATGCTATGGATGTTGAGAAAAAGCTATCATCATTAAAAGCAAAGCTATTGAAACTTAAAAGTAAGAAAGAAGAGATGGATGAATAATTGACTTAAAAAGAACTAAGAAATAAATATTTAGAAAAAGAATTGACTTAAAAGACAAAAGACTTTGAACTGTTAGGTAAATATGTCACAAGCGGTTATCATGATGATGAATATTAGGAGAAAAAGCAACAAGGTTAATAAGTGTCAAAAATGCTGGAAAAATCAGTATTAGAGAAATTTAGTTATCATACTGATAAATATTTCAGATATATAGAAGATTGTATAAATTAGGAACAAGAATAAGCGGATATAAAGGATGATGATAATCAATATCAAGCTCCACCTCCAACTTGTGCAATATAAGTAAAATGTCTGAAATCCTGCTTACCTAAAGATAAATAAGAATTAGGAGTTCCAGGGGATGATCCTGATTATGTTACTCAAACATTTCGATATACAAAATTAGAAACATTTGAAAGTTTAAAATAAGCTGCTCTTCGTTTTTGGGGATTGGTAGAAACAAAAGTAACTAATAATTTTATGGAAAATAATTAAAAGTCTAATGGATTCTAAAGTGAAATACAATAAGAAGGAGGAGAACAATCTAAAATGAGTGAAGGTAATGGGTAGGTTGCAATATCAGGATTAAACAATTCAAAATCAAGTAATTAATCTGAAAATGATGTAAAAAGAATAGCAAATAGATATGAAATAGTAACAGATGATTTAGAACCAGTTTAAAATACAAATTTAATTGAAAGATTCTTAAATGAATAAATAGCAAATTCTAATAAAAATACATTGTGTGTTGTATTGAGAAAGAAAAAAAATAAGTAATCACATAAAAAGGGTGGAGGAAAAAACACAACAGACGGAAAAAGTTAAGGTATGAGTTAAGTAAAAAGCTATGGAGTTAGTCATGGAGGTTAAAGTTCTTAAATAGGTACATAGACGAATTAATAATCAAATTAATAATCTAAAGTGGCTGGTGATGATTAATCAAATTAATAATAGTACAACCCATTAGAAGAAGATGATGATGATGATGATGATGAAAATGATCCTGAATAGGATGAAGAAAAAAGAAGATTAAAGATTAAATTATATAAGAAATTTGCTACATTTTTTAAAAGGTTTCCATTACTAAGAAAAATGTTTATGATTGACAAAAAGGACATTGAATCTAGAGGAGTTATGATAGATAAAGAAATTAAATAAGATAAAAAAGGTATGACTTGTGATGACAATAACTTTTGTGTTATTTTGATATTAGCTGCATTATTTGTTTTAAATTACTTAGCACTTTACTATTTAGAAGACGGTCCTTATGCACAAACAAATTATAGAAGACTCTAATCCTTATTAAAAGTTGGAAGTATTGGAGAAGCAGGATCATATAGAGATATTTCTAAAATTGAGGATATTTATAATTACTATTGCAATATATCTGGTATTCCGTATTAGCTAATGGTACCAGAATCGAATTTTAGAGAATCCTTTGATATTATTGGAGCAATTAGAATTAGATAAATAAGAACTAAACCAGCTGATTGTCCTTATCCTCGAAGAAATGATAGGAAAAGTTAAATTTCTTGTGTTTATACTTCAGTAACATAATCATCGAGAGAAACAGATCAAATAGGTGATGGTTCAAAACCATGGATGTCATTTCAAGCTACAAGTGAATTAGGGATTCCCCGAATTTCTAAAGGAACTTTTGATGATTATGATTCATCAGGTTATATTTTGGATTTGAAAAAATCAGATTAAAATCTTTTACAATATAAAAATAAAGTTATACAGGAATTATTTAATCATCCAGATTATTTAGTTGAAGGACTTAATGCTTAAATTCTAACAATGACTGTACGTAGTAAAAATGATGGATCTTTTATATTTTTAGAGTTTTTGATTGAATATACAAACAGTGCTTTGATACCTAATATACCATTAATAATTCCTTTTAATTTAAATTTAGTTGGAAGAGGATTATCATAACCTTATTCTGTTATTGCTTAAAGATCTCTTGATAGTCCAAGTAATCCTGTTGAATATGAAGTAGGATTAATTATTTATTTGATCACAATAGCTAAAGTATTTGTAGGTATATTCTTTCTGTTTTTTCAATTGATAAAAATAAAAACATATTTAACAGATTCAAAAGTTAAAGGATTGAAATATTTTATTTCAATTACATTTGTATTGAATTGTTTAATAATCTATATAACATTTAAAAGTTGTGATCTAATCTTTTAGTTAGATAATATGAATTATGATGCAAAAGAATTATTTTTGAGAGAAGATTTTGTTGATTTAGGAGATTTGGCTGCTCATCATTCTTCCGCCTTATTTACAAATACAATTGGATTATGCTTTACTATTTTAAGAATATTTTTACTATTTAACTTCTTAAGATCATTTGAAGCAGCCCTTAGTGCAATAGAACAATATTATTTAATGATATTTGCAAGTTTGTTTATCTTGGCTTTTGTCTTAGTTGGATACACAATGATTTCTATGAGTCTATATGGTCAATATAATGTAGCATTTAGTACTTTCACTAGAGCATTGACTTCTTTATTATTGATCTTAACGGATTGTTAGGATTAATATTCATTTTATTAATTTGATATTACATTAGGAACAGTATTTATGATAATCTTTTATTTCTTATTTTATACATTCATGTTTAATATTTTGGCTGTTATGTATATTGATTCATATAGGTATTAAATTATTTTTAAAATTAGAATTATAATAGTGGATTAAGGAGAATTAGTATAAGATAGTTGGACATCAGAAGATATATTTAAATTCTTTACAACATGGATTCCAGATAGTTGCAAAAAGAAATTTAACAAAGCTCTTTAATAAGTGTAATTACATACAGAATGATAGTATATTGTTTTAATACAAAGTTAAACTATGACTGATAAAATAAATTATATTAATGAATTCTTTAAAATATTTTTTATCATAAAAAAGTTATTTACTTTTCAATAGAATAATTTAAATTAAAATAGATAAAAAATTATAAAATAATAAGGATAAATAAAACACAAAATCTTTCATCATTAATAACTTTTTCATTAATGTACCTCAGGAAGAGTTGTAATTCTATTTTAGTTTTTAAAGAATTTTGATTTTTGAGGCTACAAATAAATGTTATTTTTATTATTTCTTTTCACCGGAGATTAAGACGGAAAACCTGTAATAAATGAGGAAGCTGGAGATCTAGGAGTTAATACTGTTGGAGTATGCATTTAAGTATTTTTATTCGAAAAATTATTCTTTTTATGTAAAGATTCAAATAATCCTGTTTATCTAGAGAATTATTATTTTTCAGAATTTATTAGCTTCTATTATTTCAATAAAAAGGATTCAAAATAGCTATGTTTAGTTTTACTCTATAAATTAATAGGTGATTATTTATTAATTAATACTTATTCCTCAAAGACTAAGCTACTTAAAGTAGGTCTATGAGCAAAAGATTTTATCATTATATCATCTCTAACAATTTATATTTCTTCTACTATATTTTCGTTGCTTGTACTATTTTTTGGAGTATTTAGATATTAAGGGAATAACAGTGTTTATTGTTTTCGTATTGATCTTTTAAATTTGTTAATAGCAGATTCCTACTCTTTCATTAAATGATTAATTTAAACACCATAATTCATTGTGTCTCTTTAGAATAAGGATTGCTTACCACATTCAGAACAATCACAACTTTTTCTTTTCTAAACTTCTTTTACTTAATCTTCAACTTTATGATCACTAACAATAATTGCTGGACTTAGTTCATTAGAAATATATTCAGAAAATTTGAGTGTATTTCTTCCAGTTCTTATTTTTGATAATCTTGTAGGGGATAAAGAATCTTTAATACTAGGTTAATGTTATTGAGTTCTTAAAATTTGAATAGGGACACACATTCTATAAAAAAATTTCATATTATGAGGAACACTTAGACTTCTTTCTAATTTAGGCACATTAATATTCTTCAGTTTAATGTTATTTTTTTTAATTATAATTCTAGACCTTTTAGTTATTCCAGATGTTTATGGGATGTTGTGAACTGAAAAATAAGGCCTTCTAAAATTATTATTTTGCATTTATTTCCTTGTTTATATATATTAAAATATGATTTAATTTGAAATCTAAAACAATCTCTTTTCTTCAATTTACTTATTATCCTTTTTTGCATATCATTAAAATCTATCTGAAATTTAAAAGGTATTGAATAATGATCATTTTATAGAAAGAATTGATATATTCAATCTTTATATAATGATACTATGTAATTAATTTAGAATTTTATACTTAATTATAAATATCAATTAAATTACTGATTCAGAGAATTTAAAAATAAAATTAGAATGATCTATTCGATGAACATCATTCAAAAATATTTAATAATGAATTCAAAACTATTTATCTATAGAGTTTTATTAAAGATTCCAATAAAAAATAGAGACTTAAGAAATATTGAAGTTAAAGCTATTTTTTTTATCTTTTGGTAATAATTTAAATAAAAAAAACTAAAATATTATCTTATATTATGTTTAAAAAACAGAAGTTTATAATAGAATTATGATAGAAATTTTAATTTATAGAATTTTACATAAACATATTTCATCCTAGGTAAAATCATTCATAATGAATTTAATATTATTACAAATATATACTTATTTTAAACTAAATTAATGTCAATAATCAAATTTTGTAGTCATCGTCATTTCTAATCGAACTTCTATAAGTGGCTGTATTTTAAGGAGTTTTTAGAATACCATATAAGTAAACAGGAGAATATTGATTTAAATGATTATCTTAAATAGTAACTTAATTGATTTATAGATTTTGGAAAAATTATAAGGATATTAGTTATTGTTGTTAATTTTATTAGAAAAGTTTAGAAAATAGATTTAGATGGTTGAGAATGTTGTTGGGTTTGATTAATTTTTTTAGGTTGTACAATTTTTTTTAGATAGTTCCTTTTGTTTTGGCACTTATTTCAATTTTGCTTATTCTTTTTTAGCTTCTTGCTATTTTTATCTATAATTTTTAACAATTATAAAAGGTTTTTCATATTGAAAATCATTTTATTTTATTATTATTATTATTATTATAGAAGAAGTCTAAATAGAATTGTTAATCTTTAGATCCATTCATGTAATTGTATATACAAGAATATATATGATATATAAAGGAACCTAATATTATATATATTAATATGAAGATTATAATTATGTTTTTATTATAATAAATATTCACTCAGTTTATAAAAGTTTTAGCTATTGAACTGTTTTTTCAAAGTAATCTACTTCTTTCAAAAGCACAGGAGTATATTGAAGTTATTATACTTTATCAAATAAATTTTATATTATTGTTACGGTTGTGGTACCATTCTTATAAATTCCATAAGTCACTTATAATTTTTAACCTTTATTATTTAGTATTTTATACTTGTTTCATCACATTTTTGAAATTATTCATAAGTTTGACAATCAAAAACTGGTCTCATTTAAATTTCAAAATTATCATCCTTAAATAATAAAAATAATAGTATACATTAATTATTAAGGTTTCTTCAGAAAAAAAGACTACTTTCTTAAAGAGTTGTTTATCTTGCCATAAATAGGTTTCTGCAACTATTTATTTATTATCTTCTATTTATTTAACAATTTATCTAACGACCATTGTTTTAACCCACTTATGTTTTTATGAAGTTAATAACTCAATTGCTCTATTTAGACTACATTTAAGGGGATGTACAGTTTTAACAATTTAACCTTAAATGTGTTAGATTAGATGATTATCATAATCTAATATTTAGTCTATTATTACCTTGCACTTATTTCCATATAATACTTTGATTACATTCAATTTCTTTCAACTACTCTATTGAAGGCTCTTAATCTAGAATACTGAGTTTTTCCTTTGAATTTGATTTAATAGGAGCAGTTTCTTTTTGCAAATTCTCTGCACTATCTGCTATGAATTAAAAGGCTTCTTCCTTTTTTTATTGATAAGCCTCTTTAAATTATTAGAATTCAGTTAAGGTTTCTTAATCTTCTAACTAAATTACTCATATTAATAATACTAAAAAAGATATGAATTCTGGTTTTAGATCATTAACTTTAACATATTTATAAATTAAGAGTAAGGTATCTTATTTACATAGTTATTTATTAGTTCCACATACATGAAATGATATACCCATTTTCTTAAGTTATTTGATACTTACTTCAGCAAAAACTTTTAAAAAGAAATCAGCATCTAAATAAATAAATATATTTTGATTACAAGGATTAAAATCATATTCAAGCATTTTCCTTAAGAATTACATTCCACTTATACAAGATATATGTGATTAAAAATCTTTAGAAGTGTTTTTTAATAATTCAATAATTCCTTTTTATCTTTAATCATCACCTACTAACATAAATTTTAAGACTTATGATCCTAAATGTTATGTTTTTCCAAAAAAATATTTTTCCATTTTTCTATTTTATGAAAATAAAAATACTAAAATATTTTGCTTCTTTCATCATTTCTTTCATTTAATTTTGCTATATAATGAAAAACCATTTTTTCTTATTCATTTGATGCTACTAATTTAGTTTCTTCTTTTAAATCACTTAATCCAAATTCATCTTTACTCATTTCATGAAGTCTAACATTTTAACCAAAACCTCCTTTTAAAAATTGTTCTACATAAATAAATATAGCTCACATTATATATTTAAAAAGTTTAAAAAGTAATGCATTTAATTATTAAGATTTCTTAAAATGTATTTCAGTAACTCTAGTATATGATTTGATTATATAATTACATTCTAACATTTCTCTTCTTTCAGCAATATTTTTTTTAGAGTTAGATTTTATGAGTTTCTTTTCTGGAAATTTAGGCAATTTATGTAAAATATTGGAAATCTAAATTAACATTCATTAAATTAACCTAATCATAAAGTTTTTCAAATTCTGAATATCTTTTAGCTATTGTATAATCAAAGTAATCTGTCTTAATTTTTATTACGTAATTAACAAAATGTTTTTTGTGCATCGATATGTTATCAATCTCTTTGTATGTATCAACAATTGAAATATCCTTTATAACATTATGATTCACAATCATAGAAAAAATGCTCTATATCTCATTTTTTCATACATTTTCAACATTTATTGGTCTTTCTGATTGCTAACGTATTAATTCGCTATTTTCAAAACTTTAAGGTTCCCATGACTGTGATCTTTGTCTCTTCATTTATTATGTAGAAGAAATAAAAATTGTATATATATATTTTTATCATTAAAAAAATGATTTTAGAATTAAATGTTTAAGATAATGTATTTATTTAATGTCCTGTGAAGGATATGATTATTCTATACTCATTAGATTATAATGAAATATAAAATACATACTCTTTAAATACATTAGTTTTTTATTATTGTTATAATAATGACAAGAATATATTATATAAGTCTTATTATTACAATATATCATATGTTTATTAAGTGAGATTATGATGCATTATATAAATCATAAATTATAAAATATATTTTTGATTTTAGTTACCTATTATTAATTTCATTATTTTATAATTAATAAACATACAATTAATGAATCAGCATCCTTTGGGTAAACTCAAAACAGACGAAAAATAAATTGAATCATATAGATACAATTTTAAAAAAGGAAAATTAGGCAAAGGTGCTTATGGAACAGTCTATAAAGGAATAAACATTCATACTAAATAAAATGTAGCTATTAAGCTTGTTAGAAAAAGTGATATGAAAGATGTTGGTATAATATGTAATAATATTTAGATGATGAAAAATAACTTTTAAATGAAATTTAAATTTTAAAGAGTCTTAAAAATCCTAATATAATTGAGATTATTGATGTTCTATAAACAGAGAATAATTATTATATAATATTAGAATATTGTAATCATGGAGATTTGGAATCATTAATTTATAAAACTCATTAAATAACACATGAAGACCATTTTTAATTTTTAATTGACATCCTAACAGCATTTACAACATTAATAAAGTAAGGTATTATGCATAGAGATCTTAAACCTGCAAACATATTAGTTCATATAGAAAATAATAGAAAAATATTTAAATTAGGTGATTTTGGTTTTGCAAGACAAATCAGTAATTATAAAAATTAAATAATGGAAAGTAAAGTGGGAACTCCATATTATATGAGTCCTTAAATATTGAATGGTTAATAATATACAAGTAAAAGTGATATTTGGAGTATAGGGTTAATGTTATATTAAATAATTTACTAAAAAAGTAATAAATTTTTATAATAATATAGCTCCATGGTTAGGTAGATCTGAGAGTGAACTCCTTTATAATATTATTCATTAAAATTTAAAATTTCCAGAAGTACCTAATGTGAATGAATTATGTAAAGATTTTATTTTGAATTGTTTACAAATAAAAGAGGAAAATAGATTTTCTTGGGATACATTATATCGTCATCCATATATTAGTGAATATTTTATAAAATTTTAGATGTAAAGAAGCAGTTGTTAAAAGAAATTATTTTATATTTAGAATTATCTTAAATAGAAAATTCCAAATGTTGATACATTAACTCAAATATTTTAGAAAGTAGATACTTCTGGAGATTAATAATTAAATTTAGAAGAATTCAAATGTTTTATCTAATATCTTGATAATAGCTTTAATGATGATGATGTTAAATATATTTTTGATGAATTTGACAGAGATGGAAATGGATATGTTGATTTTGAAGAATTCAAACAATATTTATATCCTTCACCACCTAAAAAAGCAAAACTTTAAAGATCTTTATAAAAAAAACATATGATAATATTATAAGAATTATCTAATTTAATATAACAATACAATATGAGTCCAAGATAATTATTTCGAAAATATGATACTTCAAACAATAATTCATTAGATAAATAAGAATTATATGCATTATTAAAAAAAATAGATCTAAATAATTAATTATAATTAGAAGACATAGAAACTATTATAAATGTTTTTGATGAAAATGATGATGGTGAAATATAATTTGAAGAATTCAAAAAATGTTTATCATTGATACACAATGATGAATTGTTTACTATAAATTCTAGTAAAAAAATGATTATTGAAACAGATGAGAAAATATAGAGTGTTCCTTAATTAAATAAAAAAATAAGTATTGAATAATTGCATAACTAAAAATATATTTAGAATACTTAAAATCAATAAATGATAGTATTACAAACAAATCCATAGATATCTTTTAATCTCTGTTAATGTAATATTTGAATTGTATTATCATGTAATATTTATGCTATTAACTTAATTTAAATAATAAATAATATATATTAAATGAAACAAGAAAAAAATATTATTGTATTCACTCAACAAGACTTTTAATCTAATTTCTTAGTCAACCCTAATCCTCCTTTAGGTTCAGGACATGATGCTAAAGTCTATTTGGCTATGCATAAGCGAACTGGAGAAATGTTTGCCCTCAAAGTACTTACTTCAATTACACCAGACCATCTCAATAATCTCCAGGTTTTTTTTGTATTTATTTAGTGAACGAAATTAAAATACTTAAATTAATAGATCATCCAGGTATTGTTTAATTGAAAGGACATGCTCAAGATTTTACTTGTGCATTATTAGAGTATATGCCTCACGACACATTTCTTAGAATTTTGAAAAAAGGTCCATTTCATATATCTCTAGCTAAAACACTTGCTTGTCATCTTATTCATATATTAGCAACTCTTCATAATCATCAAGTAGCTCATTGTGACATTAAGCCTGAAAATATACTTATAGCCGCAAATTATCAAATAAAATTATGTGATTTTGGATTTGCTCGAATAACTTAGTAATTGTCAAGACCTCCTGGTGGAACACCTGGTTATACAGCACCAGAAATTTATAAAGGAAATAATTTAGATTTATTTAAATGTGATATATTTGCTTTAGGAGTTGTCATATTTATTATAGTAATGGGTTTTCCACCTTTTTAAAGTAATGATCCTACTTTAAGAGATTAATGGTGGAATATGATATTGACTAAATAATATGACATTTTTTGGAAAAAATGTGAATAATATAAATAACAAAAATATCCTTAAGAATTTAAGGATATGATTATGCAAATGTTGGATCCTGATCCTGATAAAAGGATTAGTATTGTCTAATTAATTTAGCATTCTTTTTTATAAAATGGAGCATCACATGAACAAATCGTTTAAGAAGTTCAAAAGAGAGTAAAAAAATGAACAATAAATAAAATCATTTATTATATAATTTGTAGAGATTAAATTAACTCATTATTCTTAGCACTCTTATCTAGTGAATAAGTTGTAATAAAATATTAAAATAATTAATTATTTATGTCATCCCTATTAAGACCAACACTGGTTAAAATGATATACCCTATATGCTAAAAAAATGAATTCGCTAAATCAGAGAGTTCGGTTGAAGAGGATGTTTACTTTATTGAATCAATAAGGGCAGAAGCTTAAAACCCTATGATAAAGAATTTCAATTAAGTTGATTCTACAGTTGAACTTCAACAAGACCTTGAAGAGTTCTTGAACTCTCTAGATTGAACAACCCATAATGAGATTTACTGAAATCTCATCTGATTATATAATATATAAATCTTAAAACTCTTCTTAGAGTAACAAAACAGATATTTTATTCCTGTTCTCTTATTTACTTATATTCTCTAATAATATCTTGTTGTTCAAACAATTACTATTTATATTTATCATGCTTTTTATTCTTTATTATTAAGATTCTATAAAAATGAAAACATATTTATAAAGAGATTTTATATCTAATATATCAAGTTCAAACTATCTAGTCTGATATATATAATTTTTTATTCTTTTGGATTGTGTAGAATCCATCTATAACTGATCCTAATAACATTAGTTAAAAAAGAACATTAATTCATATAATAATATTACATAAATTCATTTATTTCATCAGATCTAAATAAATTTAGTTAGAATTCTTGCAAATTTTATATATCAATTTTGATCTCTTTCATTAAAAAATCATCATATTTATTAAATTTCAATTATATTTTTAGGTTATATTATAAATACTAGCTATTTAATATCCAATTTTGCTCTATATTTAGGCTAATAATAATATTATATCATTGAAATTTTGTGGTTAAAGAGAATTAAGTATTATTATTGATCATTATAATTATTTAATTTTCAATGTATTATTTTAATTAAAGATTTTCTTCATCTTATTTTTGAAAAGTGTAATAATAAAATAGTCCGTTAACTTTTTAATCAACCACTCTACAAAAGAGCTTAGATTTAAATTTATATGGTAGTTTTTTTAACAAAGACAATATCATAATAATTATATAAATATGTCAATTATTAGACTCATCATTTTTATTTTGGAAAATATTTTTTCACAATTTCTTCAATGTCATTAAATTTTTATATCTAGTTATCTTTAGACTCAATATAACAATAAATATCATCAGGAGTAATTTTTTGTTAGTCTTAACGTTTGATGTTTTTAAAATTATATTTCATATTTTCAAAAGAAAATATTTTATTGATGAGTCTACAATACAAAATCTTTAAAATTATTTTACTGTATTCTAATTAGGATTAACGATCATTAATTTTATTTTTAAAAAATTGAAAAATGTCATTGATAAGCATCTTAAATTCTGTAAACCAATCTTCTTATTATTTATCATTATTTTATTAATTCTAATCATCATAATATAATTTTACTTTATTTTCGCTATCAATTAATTAAGGATGTTCACAATCTTCGTTGTTATTCTCTGAATTTTCTTGAGTATTGTAGCATTATTCAGCTTAGAATAGATATAAAGAATCTTTAAATTAATCTTGTTCAAAATATATCTTCTCTTTGATTATTTTATAAATAATCTCATTTAAACCCTTATTTTAATTTTATTCACTTAGAAATTTCTAAATTGCTTCTAAATTTAACGATATTTCTTTTTATATTTAAGCCAAGGATTCTACCAATTTGTTAATAGTCTCTATTAAGCTATGTTTTAAAAAATAAAATTTATTTTCCAGTTAGAAACTACTCCAATTATCTACTTGATTTATTTTCCAAGGACAATTAACTGATTTTAATTTTAAATAGAGTTCTTATATAACTAAATAGCTTTGCTTTTTTAAAGCATATTAAACTATCAATGAGAGTTGATAATTCTCTTATGGGTATTCAGATTGAATTTAATTAGCTGTATCATTCAATATAAAATATCGAAACTGTTCCATGTTGATTTAAATCCAAATATCATAATATTTAGAGTCCTATAATAATTATATGATTCTACTTCAATAAAAGATGCAACATAAGGGAGTTGAATATATTTTGCTTCTGAAAAATTTTAATTTTGGTCTTATGGTGTAACCTATGGCACTTATATATTTTAAGGTGAACTTTTTGTAAGATCGATTTATTAATTTTTAAAATCATTGTCAATTTGTTCTTACTTTCCTTAAATTTAATTGATATCATTTAATAGATATGTATTAAGAAGAAAAGATGAAGAAATTCCATCACAAATCATTAAATTCTCAATTATTTCAGCTTAATTAAAATTTGTATAAAATTCTATGTATTGTTATTATTTAGGTAAATTTAATTTCGTAATATAATCACTTTAATATATTTATAAGAATGATAATCTTTTTTGACTATTATAAGTCAATAAACCATGAATAAAATTAATTAGAGATTCATTATATCTAGTTGTAGATGCAATTATATGAGTATTAATTTTACTTTACTCTTCTATATAGTTTTAATAGTTAATAAGATTTGAATATTTGAAGATTTCCATTTTATTAGATGAATTTTTTTTTTCTATTGCATTTATAGGTCTCAATTTAACAAGATGATATAAAAATGCACCTAATAACCATGAATCAAATTTAAGAGGATCATAATTTAGATAAGGAAATTAATGATTTTCATTTACTAACTTTGTAATTATTTCTGGTGGTGCTAAAATATTCATATTATTTTATTTTAAATCGGGTCCATATCCAAAATCCATTAAAACTAAAGTTCCATTATTATTTATTATGTTTTCAACTGAAAATATTCTACCAAGTATATTTAATTAATGGAGTTAAAATAATGCCTCTAATAGTTAAATAAGATAAGCTTCAATTATTTTTTAGTCAATGAATTCATTTTTATTCCTATTTATGTTTATTTTCTCTTAAACTGTATTTCCATCAATGTATCTGAAAAGATAATACTTATTTTTAATCTCAATCATCTTTAAAAAATGACGAAGTGATCTACATTTCTAGATTAAATCTTTTTTTTCCCTCTCAATCTTCAAATAATCTATTTTATATTGATCTGACAATTAAAGAGCAAAATAAAAGATAGAGGCATCATTTGATTCTTCCATCAAAAAAAATTCACCAGAATGAGACTAAAATTTAGGGATTATCAAATTGGGGCTATTCATTGCTAGATAGAAATATAATATTTATAAATATTAAATTTGTATGAAATAATAACTATAAATACTAAGTTGATCTCTAAATATTTATTCGTGAAATCCTATAAGATTATTTTTATTTAATTCCATATCTATAAACCATTTGGAACATTTAAAATAAATCAATTATTTTGAATGAATAAACCTTTATTCAAAATTGGTTATGATATCTAAAAATTTATGCATTTTTTATATAAATTTAGGATCATTTTTCATCAGGACATTATCTGATGTACAAAACATTATTACATCTAACCAATACTTCTCCTAATATTCCTCTACTCTTTCCATCAACATACTCTTCTGTATTCAACATCTATAAATTCATATAAATAAACTTACATGCAAGTTCATATATTAATCAGAACTTTTTAAAACCCCTAAAATTAGATTATTATTTATTACCTCTTAATTCCCAACCCCACTTTAATCTAACAATGATCTATTTTCTTGTGATTTCCTCTAGGAATGGTCTTGGATTGATATCTGAAACAGTCTAAAGCAAATAAAATGATATATATACATCCATGAATTAATATTTAAATAAATAATATATTAATATGCAAACAAGTCCTATATGCCCATAACCTGAGGCATAATATTTAGATAATTATGAAAATTTTGAAGAAGTAACCAAAACATTTAAGTGTCTTCAAAAAATTCATCAACCACTTGAAGAAGAAGCAACTTATTTTTTGATACGTGCTCCAACTAAAGATAATGTTCATCGTGCTATTAAATACGGTATTTGGACTAGGTAGTTATACTATAAATACTTTAGTTCGAGTCGTAATAATTAGAAATTAAATGATGCAACACGTCCAGTTTATCTATTATTTAATGTTACCCAAACATCCCACTTTATAGGATTGGCTAAAATTGTCAGTAATTTTAGAGAAAACATGCATTTTATGTATTGGGCAGAGGAGAATAAATGGTTTGGGTCTTTCTAGATTGAATGGGTAATAATCCTATAAACAAAAGGTCTTTGTAAGAGATTTACCATATAGCGAATTAAGTTCAATTTAATAATCAGGAGGAAAATGTATTCATGAATTAATTGATTGTACTTAAATTGAAAATGGTCATTTGATCTATGATGCCTTTAAAAATTAATAATAAAAAAGTTGTATGTTGAAAGCTTTTAAGGAATTAGATAATTCAGAAGTAATTATTAATTTGTATTTTCATAGAAACGAAAGAGAAATGAAAGAGATTCCAATCCAAATTTTCCCATCTAGTTTTAAGAATATATAAATGTCTTTGAATAAATGCCATTCACTTTCTCTGTAGCATCCTATTAAAGAAGAAAATAGTAATAGATTCAAAATCAATGTTATTAATAATATTAATATTATTACTAAAGTCCTTGGTACGGAGTTGGTATATTTTACTATAATTATAGCCTAACCTACATTTTGGAATCAATAGCAGTAACTTTAATAATAGCCAATATAATAATACTAGTAATAATAATAATAATAATAATAATAATAATAATAATAATAATAATAATAGTAATAATAATCTTTAAATAATCCTGGTTTTTATCAGACTTCTAATTATAATAGGCCCTAGGGATAATATCATCAAAACAACAAATATCAACAAAAGAAATAATTAAATAATAAAAATAATATTTAATAGAGTCCAAAAAAATAATAATAATAATGAAGTTTATTAGTATATTAATATATAAAATGCAAATTAATAAACCTTTGTTTTCTTTACATAAAAATAATTATTTTTGTTAACAAAAAAAATAACATTTAAAAAAACTACCTTATATATTGTATTAATAAAAATGATAAGGTTAATATATCTAAATTTACCTTACATTTTATCTATTTATATATTATGTAAATAGATAAAATTCAAGAGTTATCTAGTTATGAAATTTATATTGCTTAATTAAAATAGGTTCAAGTCATAACAACAAAAAAAATCAATTTATTTCCCTTTTTGAAATTGAAAATAGTAAAATGTAGTAAAAATAATAAAAGTAAGTTTCAATTAAGTTATTATAAAAAATATAATTTATCTTTTATATATGTTATATCAATAAATTAATAAAGAAGTTTAAGGAATATATAAATATACATTTCATTAGAGTTTTTATGTATGAATATTTCAGAAATAATTCAGTTTTATTAAATTAAATTAATGATATTAAGAAATAAAAAATAGATTTATATTACATATCCTTTGTCTTTAACATATAATTTATCAATTTAATATTATAATCATTTGAAGATACTTTCAAATAAATTCGGCTTGCTTATTAATTTATCTAAATTTAACATCGGTTTAACATTCTTTTAATTCATTTATGAATCCCCTCCAATTTTGAATTCAATTTTTTCTTAAACCTCATCTTCCTCATCTGTCTTCAGAATTTAACCTAAATAATTGAAAATCAATTACTTCCTCCTTTAAGACTGGATAAAGAATTCTTGCTATATTTTGTATGCATTATAGATTAGATTTATTCTTGCTAAAGTGATTCTATCCAGTCAAATTAATAATCCCATATGAAATCTAATTTAAAGAATAAATCCCTAAATAACATTTTAAACCTCTTGTAATCAGGTTCTTCATCAAATTTAAGTTGTCTACAATGTTGAAAATACTTAATAAATTCATTTGGTAATCCATGACATAGATCTTCAATTGATATTGTTTATTTGATTGTTTTAATTAATTCATATTTCTCTTCTCTATTATTTACATCTAGTCCTTGCCAAGGTAAAGATCCTTTTAGACAATATAACCACAAATATCCCAAAGATTCCATATCATCTCTTCTGCTTTATTCTTCCTTTTAATTAAATAGTATACCTATTCCAAGATGAGTGTTAAGACTAACATATCTGGCAGTTCCAATAAGTCCTTTATTTTCTTTATAAGGAATATGTTCACCTGTTTTTTTGTCTTTATATTTTTTTGATAAACCAAAATCAATAATGTAGATTGTGCTATATTTTTTGTTAATTCCCATAAGGAAATTTTCTGGTTTAATATCACGATATAAATATCCTCTTGAATGGAGGAGAGATATGATATCTATCTAAAAACTAATTGATCTTTTTCATTAGTATACCATTTAATCTATAAGCATTAACATGGTCTTTAATTCGAATCTTCTGTTCACTAAATTGAAGAGTTACTCTAAATTGTAGCCCAATAATTCCATAACCATCACAGTTTTATCTTCCCATTACCCAAACCAATGTACTTTAGGAATACCTTAAAAAATATAATATAATATACCATTTCCTTAAATTGCAGATAATATTTAAAACTCATGTTTAATTTGTGGCATTTGAGCCTCTTAACTTTCCTAAAATAAGGTAAATCAAATTCAAATTTTACCAATTTTATAGCTACAATTTCATTAGTTTCCATGTTGAATCCTTTGAATACTTCACCAAATGATCCACTTCCAAGCTTATTAGTAATTTTATATAAATTTCCTATTGGTTTCTCTTAATCAAATTGTAGCATTTTTAATTTTATTTAAACTAATAATAAATGACTAATAATGTAATTTATTTAAAATTTATATCTATATGTTTAAGGTAAACATTATTAATTATTAATATTTAATATATACGTCATCTATATATACATAGATATGAATATAAAAATACCTAATTATTGATAAATGCCAATGATCTTATATAATCTTTATAATGGTAGATAATCATAAACAGAAAGTATTTTTAATTTAATGTAAATTAAATAAATAAGAATGCTAATATTAAGCCTAAAGTATAATTATATTAGATAAAACAAAAAAACAATTATTCTAAATTTTATATAGAATAGATAAGACTTGTTTTTATATTGACTGTTATATAAAATAATTGAAGTTTATCATTAATTTAATATTAATTTTTTGATCATCATATAATAGAGAGATAGACTAAAAATGAAGTTGTCTTGTATCAGATTTAATATAAATTTTACAATTTCAAACTTTTTATTATTTAGTTAATAAAAGTATATAAATGAATTATATAAATAATTTTGAAACTGTATATTTTTTTAATAATATTTAGTTTGAATTAAAAAAGAATTTCTAAAGGTGTCAATTAATAGAATACATAATTAAAGTGTGCTTGTGTAGGATTTGATTTTATTTGTCTTTTTAAAAAATAAAATTAAAGTTGACAAGAATAAACTGAAAAAGAGGTTTAAGAGCATTCAATTCCTTTAAATAATCGATTTCTATTTACATATTGAAAGGAAAGAAACATAAGGAAGAATTTTTTTTATTTAAAATAAAATTGATATCTTGAATATAGCTTTTTTGCTAAATAGTTGTTCTGGGTCTAAATATTAAACATAAATGAATAGTGACAGTTAAATTTTGATAAGAAAACTAATAATTTTATAATCTAAAGAATTATTTATAATGCTCCAAAAATAAAGAAATTTAAAAACTCATAAAATTAATCAGAATGATTAAGAGATTTAATATGTCGTCTATTTTGAATATCTATATAAATTTTTAGAATAACACATAATGTAAAACCTTCATTTTCTTTTTCTTATCTACTCATTAATTTTAAATGATATGAATTTTTTTGTATATTGTATTATTGTATAGTATTAAGTAATTTATAACAACAAAAATTTTAACATATAAAAAAATCAATATTTATCAAAAATGGAGATAAGAATTTTAAAGAGTATTTTTATTTTTGTATGTAATTTAAGGGTCAAGGAATCTTAAGATTATTATAACTATTATACTTAGGTAAGGTTTGATCTAAAGAATCAAAATTATTATATTATATATTAATTTATATTTCAATAATTTTATTTATATATTTTTAATAAATAAATAGAAGTTTGTAACGCTAGAAATAATTTATATTATATAACCAACCAACATTGATCTTCTTTTTCAATTATTTTAATAAATATTTGACAAGATATGAATAACACAGAACAGAATTAGACTCCTGGTAATTCTGGAAAGGTATATCCGAGCGGATATGCTGAATACGAATTATTAAGTTACAAAGAAAAGCCAACTCCTAGAGAAGACTTAGAACTTATATAATATGGGGAAATAGGAGTAAGTGATTGATAATATACAAATAGGATGATGATTAAAAGATAAAAGCATAACTAGTGGGTAGCAAGGATTAATTGAATTAATGGATGATTCAATTTAAACAATAAAAATAAGGTGAAAACCGTAGTACAAATAAAGCAGAGAATGAGAGTCGTTTAGAAAGGTTTGAATTGATTACTAATTTAGTATATATTCGGGAATGATTTTACTTCGAAGATTAACAAGACTGATTCTTTAAATTTTATTTATTGGTCTTGTAGTTGGATTCTTTGCATGGGGATATTTTGTAACAGTGAAAAACTCATCTTGGAGTGCAGAGAAGGATACAAGTAATATTGATATATATATTGGCAATTGTTTTTTGAATGTGAGTCAATCTGATGACTATTTAAAAGTAAAATATCAAATCCATATTTTAGTTTTCATTTAAAGCAAAAGGAAGTATGAGCCAGTAAGTTAATGGGTCTGATGAATTTAGAATTTTAGGAGAAATATTAGACACAGGTGTCGCAAATCTAACATTTTATGATCCAAATCCTGATGTATCAATATTTAAATAAATAATAGTAACGAACATGTATGATTGATTTGCAACTGCCAAAATAAATTGATAATTTAAATGTTATTTGTAGATATGAATCAGAATGTGTGATGGCATTTGGATTAGAGGAATTAGTAGTTAATACATTATTTAATGCTACATCAGAGCCAAAAGCAAAAATGTAGATAAATATGAGAAATATTAAAACAGAAAATTTCATATTTCATACAGAATCAGCAGGTAATTTGTTTTTGAATCATTTCTTAATAACTGAAGCTAATATTAGAATGCTTAGTGGTGATATTATTATTTAATCAACATAATCATACTTTTTGAATTATTCATCACAATCATAAGCTGTTTGTACAACTGGTTATTAAATTCTAAATAAAGTTTAAGAGAATTGTTATTTAGAAGCAACTTAATAGGATATGATAGGTAAGACATGTAATGGCTAAATGAATTTATGCGAAAAAGATTCATGTAATGTATAATAAACAATAAATATTATTGGTAATTCAAGCACAATTTATGCAAATATGCTCTATGAAATAGGTAAACCATTAATCAAAGGAGTTGATGAATTTGAATATTTCCAAACTTATCCTTTTTTGTCAGGAAATTTAAATTTTGATTAAGAATCCCTTCTTAAAATACAACAATTTATGAATAATAGTGGATCTGCTGATGTTGCTGTAAGACTTGATGTTGGTGGTCATTACTTATTATAACATACTTATAGCACATATTGGTCATTTTTTAGTAATCCATCATATGCAGCATTTTAACCATGGTGGTTATCAGCTTTTTCAGCTACTTTCTTAAATCCTACATTTTAACATTTCTAAGTCAGTACAGATCCAGGATTATGTCCATGGAATCCAGCTTTGAATGCTAGATAGACATTAACAATTTAAGAATTAATTAAAAGAACATTTAATACAACTTATGGAGAAGCTATATTTATTTAGAAAGATGATTTTGTAAAGTAAAATGAAACATTAAATGAAAATCTTACTTATCCTGGTTTTGATCCATTAGAAGAAAAATAAAGAGGAAAATATGAAAATTGGTCAACTATTTAAAATGTTGCTAATAATATTGTTTATTAACCATTAAGTTATGATCCATTTTTCATAGCAGCTATTGCATTATCATTATTATCATCATTAATATTTGGAATTGTGTGTATATTTGTATTGATTGTATCATTATAAGGATTAGAAACTTATGTTTTGGAAACTTCTGCTTAATTTTAAAATTATAGTGCAACAACAACATAAAGTACAAAAGATAATTTAGCAGCTATTGCAAAGAGAATGATTTAAAAATTAGATTAACTTGCATCTAAAAAAGATCCTCCTATTCTATTAGGAGTATTATCTTATGTTTTTTATGTTTTTGGTTAATAATCATTTAAAAGTGCACCAAAAATGTTTTGTAAAACTTTATTCAAAAAGAGTAATTAAATATAAACTGAATAATATTATAAATAAACTTTAGACAAATAATTTTTATGTATTGATGAAGAAGAAGTTAAAGAGTAATATGAATAATTCTGTTTCCTTAATAAATTAACTATAGAACCATTATCTTAATAAGAATAATTATTAGAATAATATGGTTTTGAATTTGCAGAGAAAGATGATGTATTGATATTGTCTAAAATAAAATTGAATCCTAATGCTAAATCCTATTAAGAATTAAGTGATGAAGAAAAAACATCTGGTAATTCATTAGAGCTTTTTATGGCTACTTAATGTTTATTAACAGGAATTCCAGCAGATATTGTTCCATCTGATAAACTTGAAAAAGCATATATTAAATTTTGTGGTAAAACTTTGAGAGTTGAATAATTTAATGTAAAAGATATATCAAATGATTATGGTCTCTTAATTTCAGATCTTAAAGCATTTGAATTAAGAAAAGTTAACACTGGAACTCAATAAAGATAATCATGGTATATAAGATTTTTGGGTAGATGTACTCATTATATTCCTTTTATTGAAGATTATTATCTTGAATAACCAGTATTTTTATTAAGAAGAAATACTGAAATTAATAGATTTTAATAAAATCCAATTAAAACTATGAGTACTAAAAAATTAAATGCACATGTATTTTATTATAATTATCCTTTCATGTTTATTCAAAGTTTAATTTTCAATTATAAAACTAGACTATTTAATAGAGAATATTCATATAGAGAAAAAGAAGAAGGAAATGTTTTAATGGATTATTTTGATGCTCTTTATATGAATGGATGGATTTTATCAGATTTAACTGTAGTTTTAGGTAACTTTTTAGTAACAGCTATTACAATAGTTCCATTACTTTATTTTATTATCATTATTAATACATCATACTCACCTTTCTCTATTTATGATCCAAAGAATCTACTATTTATAGATGATGCTTTAAGTAGACCATGGACTATAACAGATTATTTTGGCATTTTAGATTATTGGGTATTAGTTTTAGGTGTATTATTGGCTTATTATGCAATAATTACATTTTTATTCTAGAGTGTTAAATACTTATTATCATATTTCCCAGATGAAGTGGGTTATATGTGGGAATTTAAATTGTATTAAAATAAATTAATGAAATACTTTAATTGGTTTTAATGGATATAATTCTTAATATTGGCATTTAGTGTATTCTTTTATTTTGGATTAATAATAGTATGGTTACTTTTAGGAGCAATAATTAATCCTAATTTTTATCTAGTTTATTCATCATCTGCCTTATCTTTAGTTGCATTTATTGCTGCATAAATTTCTTAGATTAAATCTACTTATGAATAAGCTTGTGCAGAAATAAAAAAAATAATTAATGAAATATATTTGAGAACTTTTGGTTAATTGGCTGGAGCTATAATAAAAGAAATTTAAAAATTAACAGATTTATCTACAACTATTATTAATTCAACTAATATGGATTAAGCTAAAGAAATGGCAGAAAATTTAGGTTTTGGTGAAGAATTAAATGAATTATGTATTTTAACATAAGGAATGATTGATAATGCTGGTTCTACTGATTTAAATTAAGATTAAATTAATTTTAAATAAATTAAAGATAAATTTATTTAAAAAGCTTGTGAGAAATTTATAAGAATTGCAAAAGATTAATTTGAAGTTCCTGAAATTATAGCTGAATAATTAGTTAAAGCTAATTTTGTTAAATTTGATGAAATTATTGATCCATTAGCAAATTAAATTTAAATTTAAAGTTCAAATAAAATTCCAGCTGCTGTTGTTAAATGGATTTATTAAACATCTGTTAAATTAAGTAGAGTATTTTCTAAAAAAACTCCAGAAGAATAAAGAAAAGAATTATAAATTCATTTACCTGTTATTAGTGTATTTTTACTTGATGCTGTTGTTGATGGTATGATGTTATAAACATAAATTGAAGATAAAGGAGCAAGTCAATAAGCATTCAAAAGTGTAATGCTTTCCCTTTTTAATTTAATGATGGATAGCTCACCTAAAAATATATTAATTTAAGTTAAAAAATTATTTGAAAATCTAAAAGATTTTGTTGGCATATCTCCAATACCATTATAAGCTTTAGAAATGATATTTTAATATGCTCAATCTTTAAATGAAAATACTAATGTAGAAGAATCAAAATAAGCATTAATTAAATAATTATTATCCTTATTTAATATTGATCAAGATTTAGCTGCAGTATATCAATTATTATTTTCTAAACAATAATCCTTATTTATTGATAAAGAAATTTAATTAACTCCTACTGAATAAGCTGGTGTTATTATTAGATTATGTGATAAATATTTCTTAAAAGATAATATGGATCAAACACTCAAAACTAAATTTGAAATATTCATACTTTTTGCTATTAAATTTTTAAAGAATGATAAACCACCTCTTTCTGATTTAATGAAACTATTTGCCTAAATATATCCAGGAGATGATGGAGAAAATGAAGAGTATTTTGAGAAATTATTAGAATAACATTATGGTCTATTAAATGTAGGATTTTCAACTTTATAATTATGTACTAAGAATTGGAAATAAGAATTACCTATTACTTTATAAGGTAAATCTCTTGAATTAGTTTTTGATGTATTATATGTCTCAAGTAGATTTTTATGGTCATCAAGTATTTTAGATAAAAATAATACTGAAAGTGAATCTACATCAAATTAAAATGGTTCATGGAGTGATTAAATCTTTTCTAAACCTGCTACTTAAATTGTATAAAGAAAAGATAAATTAAATAATAGAGATATTATTGAATTAATCTCTTTATCATTCTAAATATCTGAAAATGCTGTTATTGGATTAATTTTAATTTTAAGAAATGAAATTTAACGTACAATTTATCATGATGCTATTTACTATGAATTAGTTAAAATAACATCAAAAAGTTTAGAAAGTTAAATGATTAATGTAAAATTCATTTTTGAATTGTTATCTAGAACAAATTTTGAAGATATTTTAATATTCTTGTGCTCATATTAATAAGTTTATAAGGCATTAATTGACAGACTATTGGAAATAATGTTTTCTTCTAAAGGAATGTTTAGAGTATTTAATGGATTTTTGGCAATTGAAAAAATATTGGATTAAAGTTTGAAAAGTTGTGGAATAGATGAATCTAAATTAAAAATATATCTTGCTATGGCTAAAATGTAATTGTTTGGTAAATAATTCCATGATGAAATGAGTAGAGATCCTAAATTTAAGGATTAAATTAATAAAATATGGGATAATGATTAAAAGCTATAAATTTAAATTAATCAATAACAAGATGATAGTGAAGATTAATTAGTAAATTATTATAAAACAGAAAAAATTACCTTCTTTACTTTCCTCAAAAAATCTTTAAGAGATGAAAAATCAAATAAACAACATAAAGCAGATTTCTTAGCAGAAGTGTCTAACTAAGTTCCTCTTAAATTAGAATATTTATATATGATTTTGGAATAATAGTAAGGTGTTATATCTAATAATACTTTAAATTCGCCTTTACTTAATGGATTAAAAGTTGAATCATTTAAAAATTTGTTAGTTCTTATAACATTTAAGGATGCAACTAGCATATCAAAAGCACTTAAATATTTTATTAGTTTTCATCCAAAATCATATGAGAGTATTGATTTAAACAAAATTTAAGTAGAACTTTAAAAAATAATTGATGTTGAATAAAATATAGCATCTTTCTAATTACCAAATACAATACCTTACTAATTCTAAAAATTATTGAATTTATTTATAAATTAAATTTTCCAAACTAGACAAGCAATAAGTTCATCACTATATAGCGACTTATTCAATTACATTAAATATGAATTAGATAAATTTAAAATAGATTTTGATACTAAAAAGAAATTTGAGTTTTCTCCTGTTGTTTCAAATTAAAATTCAAAATTGAACTATGAATAAATAAAAAATCTTTAAGATTTAATACCATTTTCTGAAAAATTTGTTAAAATGATGTTTAATTCTAATAGTTTAATTAGAGATTAAGCAATAAGAGAAGTATTAATATAGTTATATCCAAAACCTTAAGTAAAATAATTAGCTAATTAACATTAAGATTAAATTAATAATCTATAATGTTTCATATCTGGATTAATGGATAAGAATTATGAAAATGTATTAGCCTTCTTAATTCAATATTGTGATTTTATTAAAGAAAATAAATTTAGAAAGTTTTTCAAGAAAGTATTGGCTATTATAAGAGGTTTTGTGACTTAAGAAGCAGTTAAAGAAGATGATAGATCTACTAAATAATTAATTTGGGCTACTTAATAATTAAAGTATTTCATTAGTTCAGATTTGGATTGTTTCATGGAACTTCTTTAAACATATTTTAATACTGTTTTGAGTTCTGAAAAACCTAATCAAAATGCTATATAAGGATTATTTAGTTTGATGACTCCAAAACCAGATTATGATATTTTAGTGAATATCTTTGATTTTGAAGAAGAAGCAATTAAATTTGCATAATTCTTAGTATCAGCAATATTTTCAGAAAATAAATCAAAATTATTATAAGATCCAAAGGTTCATTAATTAATAGAAAAGAAATTTGCTATAAAGGAAGTATCTCCTTTGATTGATTTATCAGAAATTTTAGAATCAAATTCTATGGATTCAAAGTCATTAATAATTAAATTAAAAATAGAATAAAATCCTACTGCTTCAAGATTATTCAAAGTATTATTTGCATTCAAAAGACAATTAGTAAAAGGTGAATCTTGGAAATAATTATAAGATAATTTTAATACTTTGGCTGATTAAAGATCTGAAATATTTAAATAAGATAAAGAAAATAAAAAACAATAAGGATAATAAAATGATATTGGATAAACAGAAATACTTGAAGTTTTACATTGGTTCTCCCATCCTAGACCTACAAATTTCTTATATTTGTTAAATAGAATTTAAATACTTGATCAATAAGAACCAGCTGCTATATTTGCAGCAGCAATTGCAGGAATAGGTAAATATGATAAATTTGATTGGTATAAAGATAAATAACCAGAATAAATTAGAAATAGATCAGATACTATATAGAAATTATCTTAAAAATCAGTTGATAAAGCATTACTTTATATAGCTTAAACTAGTGATTAAGATGTATAAGAAGCATTTAGTTTATTATAATTGGCAGCTGGTATTAATCCAGTATTAGTAAGTGCAATATTTAATGATAATCAAAATTCAAATCCATGTTTATAATAAATATTATAATCAGAATCAACTAATAATTAAATGATAATAAAGGAATTCATGAAGAAATTTAATAATTTTGAATATGATGCATTGGCTTTAATTAAAATCATTGAATATGAAACTGTTAAGATATCTTAAAATGAAAAATTAACTCCTGAAATGGTGAATGATTTACTGAAATCTCTTGATTTAAATGCAAATAAATTAAATATAATTGAAAACTTTATGAAAGGACATGCAAAAGGTAAAGTGTAATATTATTTCCCATTATCATCAATAATTTTAATTTATTCATTAAAATAAATGAGATAAATAAAAAAGAGAAAAGATAGAGCTATAGCTTAATATGTAAAAGGTTAATTTTGTATAAATATGGCATTTACTGTCTTTGAAAGATATTTATATTTTTATGATAACAAAAATCTTATAAATTTAAATAAACCTGCTTTGGTGAAATTATTAGCTATAGGAATATTTGATACTACTAAATTAAGATCATCTGAATAATAAATTGATTTTGTAAAATTAGAAGGGATATTATATCCTGGTATGAGTGATCCTTTATTAGAAGTAAGAGGTACAAAATATAATTACACTACCTAAAAAAGTGATAGTTTAGGTGAACTTTCTAAGAATTTCAATGATTAATATGAAGAATTTTGCAAAGTATTTTATAGAATTTTACCAGATAATAATGGATAATTAGAAAATAGACCTGAATTCGATAATTATAATTAGTTTTGGACAGCATTATTTAGAGATAATAGTAATGCTAATATTTCAGCAATTTCAATGATCTATATTAATAGTAAATCAAACAAAAATAATTAAAAAGATTATTTTGAAGAATTGAGTAAAAGTATACCAAAAGAATCATAGAAATTATAATTATAATACTAATTGATTAATAAATTAACTCAATTAAATTTATCATAATATGGATATATAAGATCTAAATATTGGGATAAATCATTAGAATTAATTAAAAAGTAAATATTTAAATAAAGTGAAATTGAAGTTTTAGAAAGTGATTAATCTTCAGAATAAACTCAATAAATCATGATTTCATTAATGTAATACTATGCTGGATAATTTACTGTTTCTTAAAAAGAAAATGAAAATTAAGGATAATAATAGAATTAAAAGACAAAAGAAACAGATTTAAAACTTTTAGAAGGAATTTTTGGTGCAGGAAATAAATAAAGAGCTTAACCTAAATTTAGAGGAGCTAAATAAAAAATGCCAATTAATTTAAATTTATTGATAGATAATTTATTAGGATTAACATTAAACGAAACAGAAAGAAAAGAATTAAAACCTTTAGTAGATTTATTTTATAATCCAAAAGCTATGGATACTGGATTTATTACTAAAACATGGGGTAATGATTATTTAATAATGGATGCTGTAATGTTAATGTTAGTAAGAGTTTAATTAGAAAATTCTAAAGCTTCTGGAAAATTCTCATAATTAGCTACTAGAGTTCCAGCATGTTATTTGTATTATTCAATAGGAGATTAATATGAAAATTTAAATTAGAATGATTTAATTTTATTTAAAAATAATAGTGATCTATTGAATTTAGGAATTGATGAATTAATATAAGATTGTAATGAAATTTAAGCATCAATAAAATCACCATTAAAATTGATGATAAGATGTTTCTTGGGTGATGTTGAAGCATGGTATGCATTAATTGCATTTAGTAGAAAATAAGAAGGTGTAGAAACTGAATTGTTATCTGAAAGAATGATAAGAACTTTTATAATAGAATTATTACTATAATTTAAAAACTTTGGATTAAGAAGTCCTTAATTAGATAGATAATAAGTTTCATCTTAATCATTCTAATAAATACTTAAATCTTAGATGAACCAGAATTTAATTAAGATTATTGAAACTGCACTTATGAATACTTTCATAAAAGATAAAGAAGTATTTCCAGAAGAAACTACTAATAAATTGATTCAATATTTAAATTTTGTATTTGAAGGAAAAACTGAAGTATTAGCAGATAATGAATAAAGTGGATTCTTAGAAATACTTATTAAAGTATTCAAAATTGATAGATAATAACAATCATAATTGATTTGTGTTATCTAATTTATTTTATAATTGTTATTTAAAGGAGATAAATCAAATTCAAACTTTGCTTAATATGAAAGTTAAATATAAGTTTTACAAGATGGTAAGAATAATAGTGCATGGGATTTTGTAAAAGCTATAATTGAAGTAGATCACTCTAAAAATATAAATGTTTTAATTTCTAAAGCTTATCAAATTATGAAGAACAATAATTTGGGATAATATTCCAAATATTCAAATATTCTAGTATCATTGAGTTCAATAGCTCATGTATCAAGTTATCCTACTAGTAATGTTGATAATGTTAAACTTATGAATGTTATATTGTATCCAATTATATGGTTAGGATCAATTATTGAAAATCCAAAAGAACCATTTAATAAATTTATAGATTTCTCTAAAGGATTTATTGAAAATGTTGCTCCAGAAGATTTTACATAATTATTAGATTAATTTTATGAAATGAGTAATAAAGAAAACAATTCATAATCATCTATTTCAGAAAAGAGTGTTAGTTTTTATAAAGATGCATTTTTAGCATGGTGTCAACAAAATTAAGGAAGTGATCTCTAAAAATTCTTTGAATTTGTAAAAGGAAAAGTATTTGATATTTCATAATTACCAGCTCCTTAATAAATAATAATTCAAAGTTTAATTGAATTATTATATAATAATAAAATTCATGCAGATCCAGAATAAAAGATATTAAAATAATTTATATCTGAAATCACAAAGATTGAAGCTTTAAAGAATTAAAAAGAAGTGATTGAAGCAACTATTATTATGTTTAGTGGTTTATCAGATCCAAAAGATATTAAAGGAGAAAAGTTTTTAAAAGCTATTTCTACTTTATTATCTAATTATAAAGAAATTGGAGAGATCATTAAAATGATATTCTTATTTTATTAAACTGAAGATATAGAAAAATTGAAAGAATTACCATAATAAATTTAAAAAGGATGTTTCAGTAATTAATAATTATATGATAAAAAATTTGATAATATTCCATTATCTTAATTATTTTTGATTGCATCCAATGCATAAAAAATGATTAAGTCTTTAGAGGATGCAAAAGAAATGAATGAAAGAGAATTACTAAAAGCTGTTAAACCAGTTTTGGAACCTATGTTTGGATAAAAATAAGAAAAAGATTTATAAATTTTGGTTAAATGTATTGAAGCCATTATAGCTATTAAATATAAGAAATTTAATGAAGTTACATCAGAATTCTTTTAAGTTATGAAAATATCTTAATCTAATAGTCAACTTTTAATTAGTTTAATGAAAGATTTTTAAGTAGGTTTGTAATCACCTCAATAATTAATCAAAGAGAAAATGGCTTCATTAGTTAATCCAAATACAGTTAGAACTATGCAATATATGAATTCAGTTATGACTAAATTAAATGATAATAGAGAATTATAATATGAAGATATGTTTAGAGTTTTAGATAAAAATGGTTAAAGATCAGTTAAAGCTAGTGATGTAATTGAATTTTTAAGAAGAATTAATATAGAAATTACAGAACATAAATTCAGAGAAGTTTTGGTTACTATCAAAGGTGATTAAGTTAATATTTAGACATGTATGATAGATTTCTATGAATTTAAAGAAATCATGTAAGAAATATCAGTCTAAACTATGTTTTTAAGTTTAGAATATTTAGGAATTTCAAAACCTTTATTAATAAAAGGACTTATTGTTTTAGTAATATATTTGGTAATTGTGTTGGCATTTATTCTCATTGGAGTTTAAGCCTTTGCTATACCAGGTACTTTTGCAGCAATAGTCAATGCTGCTTTACCTATGATTGGAGGATTAGGATTAAATAAATAAGCAGCAGAAGATAAATTAAAATCCTTGAACTTAACAGCAATATTAGATGTTGTCAAGAAAGCTGTTAAAGTAATTTAATCAAGAAGAATATGAATTATAAATAAAGTTATTATATTTATTATCTTATTAATTAAAAAAATTTTAATCTCTTATGGCTATATTGAAATTAAACATTTTATTTATTAAATAAAATTTATATTTTATTCTTTATAAATAATTTTATTTTTCTATTTATTAATTTGATAATCAGATATAGATTTAATATATTATTAAATATTCTAATAAGATTTAATATAATTTATATCAAAATCAAAAGAAACCCTATACTTTATAATTTTATTTCTTTATTATTTCAAAATATTCTTCATATAAAATCTTTGTTTATATTGAATAATAATTATTTAATTAAACCATATTAATCAAATTATTTAATCTTTACAAGGCTTTAATTTTATTATAAAAACTATATCATTTATGGTTGTATTTTATCTATACATTTTAGAATTGGAACAAAAGAATTTAATTTGATTTTTAATATAAGTCTTGGTATTAATTGACAGCAATAATAAAACTTTATCAAAAAACAATTCAATCATATAAAATTTAGAAAGTATGATTCATTATATTAGTTAACATTTATAGATTGAATCATTCCCAAGACCTTAGAAAATTTTGATGATAAAAAATATATAAATGATAGAACAATTTAATAAACTTTTATTTTATCTTTCATATAATGAAGAATTTTAAATATAAAAAAATCAACTAAAAAATTAATTTTAAGGAAAATAATACTAATTTGTTAAATTAAACTTTGAAATTATTTTGATTTCCTTATATATAATACTAATTAGGCATCATTGCTATATTATTTATAATTAAAAATAAATTATCAATCAATAAAATATTTCATAATTAAAATTAAAATAAATATTATTAATGACAAATTTTACATAAATCAACTGAGAATTATTTTTAATAATTTATATTCTAATAAGCCAAATATATTGTCATAAATTTTATTTTTCTAAAATCTATATTGAGTATTTGATAAGTTGATGAAAATGATAAAAGTAAAACTTTAGAATTTCAATAATTGTAATTTGTATGTAAAAGGACAAAGGTCTTTAAATTTGGTAGATAAATTAGAAAATAAAAAAGACTACTCATTAATTTTTAAAATTGACAAAGGCATATCTTAGATCCAAATGTAAATCTAACAAATGAAATGGGATAAAAGTGATTTTAAGAAAATAAGCATCTCTTAAATCAAAATGATTGCTATAAATAATAATTCACAAATCCTCTTTGTAATATGTAAGGGTTACCTTCTTAGAAGTGTCGAGTTTCATAATACCCTCTTCCTATTGATTTAGAATCTCACTTATTACTTTTTGTAATAGTGCATCATGATCAGAATCATCAACAGGAGAGGATATATATCCAAGGAATATTATTTCGATTTCTCTACAATTTTCTTTAAGTTTCTATAATATTACTGGGATTAAATGGCTTTTAATACTCAAGACAATCATGTATTCATGATGAGAATCATTTAAATAGAAGTTTAATTAGTTCTCTTAAACTCTAACACAATATTATAAGAATATACTTTTCTAACCTTGAGCTGTGATCACATCCATATTGGCCTAATAAAATTTAATTTGAAGTAGTATTAAGCATAAGCATTATCTCTCACTTGTTTAATTATAAGACTATTTATAATCTTATAAAATCTCCAATAGTATCTTCGTCATACTAAATTATTTAAAAGTATTATCTAAAAAATAACACTAACATGTATGTAGATCATTTTCTCGAAGTAGATTATTCCTATATTCTAACAGAAATACAATAATATGGGGATCTAGTTGAAATAATATTAAATATATAGGTTTTCAAATAAGTCTAGTTATAATAGTGTAGGAGCTGTCTTCATCTATTAATTAGTTACTTTATCATAAGCTAAATAATAATTAAGTAGTCTTAATTAGTAACAAGCAATCATTAATCCTATTAATATATTTTTAATAGAATTATCGAAGTTTTTTAAATCAAATAATATTGAAGTTCTAATTATTATTTTGATTTAAACTTTAGATAAGACTTATATACCAAATTATTTTGTATTAAAAATTTTATAAAGCAATAATTTTCCTGAAATATTTTATGATTAAGAATTATATATTTTTCTATTTTCCAATTAAATCACATTAAAAACAATAGTTATACTATCTTTTTGATTTAAACTTAGTTAATTAATCATTACTAAATATTCTATAATAGAAAACTAATTTCTAATTTTAAAGTATCAATATAATTGAATAAACTTGTCAGATTTTATTTAATTGATTATCATTGTATAAGAATAAATTTACAATACTGAAAACTTTTCTTAAAAACATAACTAAAGAAAATAAAATTTAGAATGATTTTAACAAATGAATAGTTTATCAAACTATTATTTTAATTTTCAGTTAAGAAAAAATATAATAAATTCAATATCAATTTATTAAGGCTTAGCCCTTAATACATGTTTTATTTACTCTAGTTATTTAAATAATCAAAATTTATTTAAAATTATTTTATCAACTCTAAGTTCAAAACTAATATAAAAATAAATATATTACTTTTATAATAAATGAGCTTTTTTATATTCTAAAATAAAAAGAAAATATAAAGATATAAATTCTAAGCAAGAATTAATTATTTGATAATCTAATAGTAATGTATCAATTATAAATAACTTAAGAACAGCTTCTTAAATTCTATTATTTTTCATTTAAAATCTATAAGATTTCTATTGATTATTGATAAACAATTTATTAAGCCTATTTATTATTAAAATTCTGTATTTTTTTAACTTCATGCTAACCTAATCTGAATTGATTAAGATTAGATAATCTGAATATTTGTAATTAGATTAGAATTAAAAGATTTATTAAATAAATTCCTATCAAATAGGTTTGGATATTTACTGAATTTAAAAAATATTTTTAGGCTTTATCATCATATCAAGAGTTTCTTATAGTAGTAAGAGGGATTATTTCATAGTGATAAAAAAAATTATCCTAAGATAAATTTTAGTAGAAAGGTTGATTTTATCTAAATTAACATTTAATCTTAACAATTATAATTGTTAATCTAATAATCTATTTGTAAAATAAATATCAAAGTATATTTTATAAAATGTAATACCTTATTTATAATATTCTCTAATCAACTATTTGTTTTTGATTTCAATCATATTTTAATTATTTTAAGTAAAATATTAATTTGAGATGATAATTAAATATACATACATATAATAGTTTTTAAATCAATGATCATATAGTCTAGAAGTATTAATTTTTTCTACTTTCTGTATATAATCATCAACATTATTTTTAGACTTTAGCATTCCCATAATCCCAAAAGGATTGACTCGGTCATCAAATGAATGAGATGTAGCTACTCTGTTATGATATTGCTAATTTTTTAGTGGTGATTTTTTAGATTTTTAAATACAATCCATAAGTCTTTTGATTGATTCATCTAAAATTTTATGATTTTCTTATTGTATTTTAAGATGCTAATATTATTATTCAATTTCAAATTATAAGTCTTCACATGCATCTTATCTTAGATGAAGCTCTCTTTTTTATTTGATTAATTAAATCTCTTTTTCTTCAATCTACTTCTATTATTCTTCTTTTAAATTTTGCATAACTTATTTCTTTTCTATTTCTTTTAATTCTTATTCTTGTTATTGTTTGATTAATTTCTAATCTCTTATTTGTAATTTCAATAACTCAATTTATCCTTTGAGAAGTAGATTTTTGTTTTATGTTAAACAATCTTTTTAAAGAATCTCTTATAGATTTTACTCAAATCTTTCATTCATTTTTTCTATAAATAAATAAAAGTAAAAATGTCTTAAAAAAATATATTTATATACAAAATTTATTTATTATTTCTATTGCTTAAGAATTTAAACATATTAAATGTATTGTTATGAATTAGCAACTAGATGTCTAGAAATTATAGGAAAGGGAATAAAAAAACTGAAGAAGACTATTGATGTAATTTCTTTTTCTTTATTTTGACCATTTCTCATTTAGATAGAGATGATCTATGTGATTATCTCTATCTATTGTTAACTAATGATCTGGAACTTGAATTTGTATTGGATCTCTTTTGACTGGTATTTTTCTATCTCTTTTAATCTCTTTTTGGACTTCTACTTCTTCTACTGTATCTATTTCCTTTTTTAGAGTTTCTTTATCCCCTAGAGTGAGAAGATTAATATGAAGATTATGAGTGGGATCTTGAGTTTGATCTTCTTGTTTTTCTATATCTGTACAATCAATAAAATCTAAAAAATACCGTGATCTTTAATTATCATATTTCCTTCTTTTTGGTGATGATTCATTTGGACATTCTCTAGCCCTAAATCTATAAAATAATCAATTTTACCAATGTCCTCCTTTTTTACATCTAAAACATTCATCATTTTCTTAAGGTCCATTTCTACGTCCTTTTCGATTATCTACAACATTAACTATGAGTTTCTATCCATTAATTTATTATCCATTAAGTGTTTTAAGAGCATTTTCAGCTTCAGATTCTGATGAAAAGGTCTATTTAAATAGAATAAGATTTCATACAACAAAGGAATAGGAACCCTTATAAGCAACATTTTTTATAGTACCATATTTTTTGAAGATATTCTTGATATCCTTTTCATCACTTATTTTTGCAAGACTATAACCAGTTACAAACAATTAATTTGACACAATCTCACTCATATAATAATAAGATTTAAATTATTAATAAACATTCTTTTTATTTATAAATTCAATTCAAAAACATACACATTCATAGAATTATTAATTATTTAGATAATAATATAAATTATCAGATACATATGTATAATCTAAATCTAAAACTTTTAAATAAATATTAGATATATCACTATTAAATTCATAAATCAACATTAATTATAGTTAATTTTATTATACATAATAAAAATCTAATAATTAATGAAAGGCATATTGTCTCGTTAATCCAGCTTATCAAATATCAATCATAATGTAAATTAAGCATTAGGAATATCATCTCAATATGATTTTGAAAAAGGCATCCTTGTTAATGTACCTGTTGATTTGCCAGAAGTCAAGAAAAATAGTCATTAAAAATTGCCTAGATTAATGAGAAAAGATTAGAAACTCTAGAAATTTTTCGTACTTAATCCTAAACAATAAATCAAATCTAATGATAGAAGTAAAACCAAAAGATTAATTCCCTATTAACTTATTAAAGTAGAACATCCTCCAATAGGCTATTATAAACTTAATGAAAGTTCTCTAGTAAATAAATCTGTTGTAGATATGAGTAAATAACCTACTGCTCGAATACCTATAAGAAAATACAAAAGTAAAAGTATTGATTAAGAACCTTAAATCCCTCTACCATAATTATTGGATGAGCCAAAAAAAATTCAAAAACCTCGAATTACAGAACTGTCTAATCTTAAATTATAAGAATGGATATAAAAAGAATTAGAATAATTAAAAGATGCTAAAAAATTATAATAAACAACTTATAAAGGATTTATGGCAAATGAGAAAGAAAAGAGCGATAATTTTCAGAGACTATTTGAATTAACTTCTCTAAAATTAAAAAATTCATATGTAAAATATTTTTTCTGAAATTAATGTTATTGTTCAATATATTAATAATAAGACAAATAAATAATAAAATTAATTACTATTTTCATTTAAAAATTCTACTCAAAAAAGACTTCGAATCTCTTTCCCATGCTTATTGAACAATAGCATATTCTGCTTCTGTAAATTATAATACAGTTGCAATTACAGGTATTGTTTTTTATTTTACCTTATGATTAATTGATATAATTACTGAATATTCTTCTGTAAAAAATCGTATAATTACATTTTTAATATATTAAATATTTGCATTTTTTTAATTCTCTTAACATAATCTATCAATTTTAATATTCTTTTCTCTTAATTCTTTAGTAATTTAATCAATTGTATTTTCTAATAATTAAATTTACTATCTACCATTTTCAAAATGTTAGATTTCTGTTTTAAATTATATAAAATATACTTTATTCTCTTTCCATTTTTCTTTCTTCTTCAATTTCAATTAGTCTTTATTTATGTTCTTTTGTTTATTATTCAATCAAATTACTTTATTCCTATTATTATTAAATCAATTCATAAATTGTTTAATTCAAAGTTATTAAATGTTATTTAAGAAAATGTAATTATGGACTACAAGTCTTAGTTTTATATATTAATTTACTTTTAATAATTATAACAATAGTAATTTAATTTTTGCTTCACAATCTGCACTTTAATCAATAAATGTTAATGTAGTTTCTCTAATTTATTCTGATTAATTAACAACTTCATTTATATTTTATATGATATCCTATTTATATTTATCAAATTCGTTTTATAAATCATTGTATAAATTAAGAATTTCTTATTTTTTCTTTTCACTTTAAAAACATTCTTATTACAATATTTTCATACTCTAATCATATTATTATGCAACAACTAAAATATCATCTTTAGATTTAGAATAATCTAATAATTTAATATCTTCATGTAATTATGAATTTAGTTGTTTATTAAATTCACTTTCTCTTACCCATTCAATTCCATTATTTTTTATACATATCCATTCAATTTCTTCTACTTTTACTTTAGCTAAAACCCTTTCACATACAATTTTCTTTTCATCTTCTAAATATTTATTTACTATTTATTCTAGATTTTCATTTTTTTATTTTTCTTCCTATAATAATTAATTTTTCTCAGCTAATTCTACTCTTAATTTATCAATTGTTAATTTAGCTTTAATTATTAATTATTTTTGTTATTCAATTTTTTCTTCCATTATTAAATTATGTAATTAACAAATAAAATACTTTTTGGAATAATTATTGCTTCATTTCTTTAATGGTACAATAATTCCTTTTTTATTGGATTTATAATAGGATGTTTTACAATACTTTGTATTCAATATTAATACATAATGAATTATCTTAAAAAACAACATTAGAATTATTAGATTACAATCACAAACTGTATAAATTTATATCAATTAAAAGAAAAATAAAACTTAGAAGAATATCTACATCCAGTTAAATAAAAGAGAAAACATTATATAAATAAATTCAATACAGAATTATAAATTGAAAATCCACAACCCAAATAAGAGGATACCTAATTAATATAACAATTTTCGGTGTAAAAATTATACAGAAAAAAATTCTTAAAAAAACTTGAAACCTATGTAGAATTTTTAGAAGGGATAAAGGTGATTATTATATACAATTCTAGGAATCTGAACAATAATTCGGTTAACAATTAAATGATTTAGATAGTAAATTACTTTCAGAAAATGAAATTACTAGTATAGATAAATATTCTGAGGATGCAAATGATATTATATAATAATTAACTGGAGTTTAATTTAACTCTAAATTATTCTTGCATTTACCTAATTGGAAAGACTTTAAAAAAGTATTAAAATAAATTAGTCAATGTCATTTTGAAGTTGCCTAAGATATAAACAAAGTTAGTATTTAATTAGTATAGCTAAGAAAAGCATATATAAAAGAAGTAGAAGATATTAAAAAATAAAGAAGGAAATTAAAACATTAAACTGTTGAATGCTATCAACATTATTAAAAGATATTAAATGAATTTAATTAAATAGAAAAAGATCTATAAACTTTTACTTTGTCTCATTAAGAAATGCTTAAAAGAAAAGATGATCCAACTTAAATCATTAAAAGTGAAATGAAAGTCAAATTGCAAATGCAATAATCAGATAATATTAGATTGAAATTAACAGATGCTAGAGAAAAAATCAAAGAAAATTAAATAGAAATAAATGAATTTAATTAAAAAATGCATTTATTCTAACTTAATTATGAAGAATAAAGGGTTGTATTTGTAAAATAAGGTTTTCAAGCATTTTTAATAACATCTGAGAATTATGCTAGTTAATTTTAAACTTAGATCTCTTCCTTAATAGTAATTGTTGATGAAGATTATTGTAATTATATATATAATTTATATATTAGATTAAATATATCCCTAGAAATAGAATAGAAATCCATTTTCACCTTAAAAGTAAATATTTTAAAATTAATAATAAAATTAAACTGTTGAACTTGATATAAATGAATAAATAAAAGAATGTTAAAGATAAACTAATTATTTACTTTAATAATGGTAAATAGTGTAAAAATATAATGAAGAATTAGAATATTTTTTTAGAGACATCATCTAAATATTTAATCAAAAATCATTAGATAAAGATTTTACATTTGTAAAATTGCAAGTAGAATTAGAAAAATAAGAAATTGTTGATATTTTCAATGTTCTTTTTTCAAGTTTATTAAGTGTTATTTAAATAATTAAAGATTCAAATAAATAACTAGTTGATTAGATTGAAAGAAAAAGATAGGATATTGCTAAATGTAGATTAGATATGTCTATTTGTAAGGAACTAGAAGTATTTGCATTAAGAGATTTAAAAAAATTATAAAGTCTTAGTTCTGATGAAAAAGCACTTGAATAATATTAAAATGATTAAGTAGATAAATCAAAAACAAAGAAGGCAGCAGAACATTTTTTTAATGAAATGAAATAAAATATGTCAAATGTAAAATCCTTAAATTTTGGTAAATTTTATGCAACTATTGGTTAAAGTGTAACTAAAGTTTAAAAGATGAGTAATTTGAAAGAAGATGATCTAAAAGAATAGTAAATATAATTAATTGAAGATAAAAAAGCATTAATTTCATTATAAGGATATACTTTAAAAAAAATGGAAGATATTCTTAAAAAACATAATAAATAAATAGCAAAAATGAAAAAAACATTAATTGAAGATTTGGGAAGATTTGCTATTTCAATATTTACTAATTTAAGAATGATAGTTGATGAAAGTAAAATATATAATTTAACTTAGCAACTGAAAATATTTAGATCATATAATAAAGAGAAAACTTAAAAAGTGAAAATGAAGAGTAAGTAATTCATAATGAGTAAGAAGTAGCTATTAGTCAAAATGAAGAAATGATTGAGGATCTTAATGTAAGTACTACATCATTATTAATTTAAAAACTATTAAAAGTATTAGTAAATGATTGGAAGGAAAGTGAATATTTTAAATTGAAAATAAAAAAAACATTGCATAAGTCTTTTAATAAAAAGAGAACAACAATGTTATCAGAGATTGCTGTTTCTGATTTAAAGATTGTTGGAGATGCTCCATCTTTATCTAATATATAAGTATTAAGATAAGATGTTAATGAAGTATTTTAATTAATAGATTTTAGTTTCTTTGTGACTTAGATTTATCTTTTCGAGGTAAAATATAAATTGTTTTAAATACAAATCTTATTCTTAATTGGCCAAAAGAATATTAAGTGCCTATTGAAATCAAAATTACTATCTCTACTTTTACTAGTAGAATTAGATTATGTTTTGTTCCTACATATCTTGGAAAGAGTTGGTAATATTATTTATAATATAAAATTAAAGGCTTTCTATGATAGAATATCCTGTGATAAATTTAGATATTGAAACAATTATTTTGTAGAAATATAATATTGCCAATATCTTATAAATTAATGATTTAATAAGAGAGTTTTTAATTGGAAAGGTGAAATTAATGACTTATCCAAATAAATTATCAATAAAAGTACCTTTAAGTAAGAAATGAATAATGATCATATATTTTTAAATTGTATAAATTCTAAAGTACTTAAAGAAAGTTCTATTATTATTTTTAATATTTATTTCTAAACCTATAATTTTTTATGAACAATAAAATGGTTAACAATTAAAAATAACAATAATGTTAAGAAGAAAGAATTGATCGTAAATAGATGTTTAAAGATGTTGACCATTCATTAAGAATACTTACAGATATTTAATTGTAAATTACATATATTTATATTAGACCCTAATAAATGTCAAAAAGCATTCAAGATGCATATGAAAAAGGAGAAATAGAAATGAAAAATAATATCTTTGATAATATTATTAAACAGAACATTATAGGTTTTTCCTTTGATATTTATAATCATTATATCATCTAATGTATTTTAGAAAAAGGATTAAGTGAACACAAAAGTTATATTTTAAGATTAGTTGTAGAAAATATAGAATTCTTGTGTTATAGAAAATATGCATACAAAATAGTATAGTCATGTTTAATTTAATATCAAAATAATCAGATTATATAATTCATAATTGATAATTTAAAGAAATTACAATTTGATTAATATGGAAATCTCATCATTAATACACTTTTAGATACTATTCAGAATGATGAATAATTTGCATAAATAATAAACAAATTGTAAATTGATAAAATTAAATATCATCAATATGGTTGTGTAATTTTGATTAATATGGTTACTTATACAAAATCAAATCATGTGGATTCAATTATAAATAAACTTATTTAAGAAAGCATATAATTATCAAAATCATAATTTTCAAATTATATAATTTAGAAAATGCTCAAAGAAAGAACAATTGAGTAAAATAAATTATTAATTAATGAATATTTGATTCCAAATTTTATTGAATTATCATGTAATAAATTTGGAAGTAATGTATGTGAAATTATGGTTAATAAATCACTTGCTTATTAACTTTAGAATTTATGGAATTTAGTCATTAAATAGTATAATTATTATATATTTTAGAAATCTAAAGTTATTATTAAATAATGAATATGCAAATTATGTAATGTAAAAATATTATTCACATATTTTGATTTTTAATTACATTTTAGAAGAGTATTAATAATCATTATATGAATTGAATAAAAAACAATTATTAAACCAAAATGGTAAAATTGTTTATCGATTTGTCAATCAATGTAATCAAGTAGTCCAATTAAATCAATATAATTGAGACTTATGATACAAAATAATTATTATTATATTAATTTATATTTTAATTTTATATAAAATGAAAGATTTCACTAAATTTCTTCTATGTGCTTTAAGTGGAACTATTATTGGACTTATATATAAATTAAATAAGGAAAAAATCAAAAATCAAAATGAATTAGAAACTCTTAAAAAATAGAAGAGTGTTACTGTTTCTCAACTTAAGTATAACATTTTATTTTTAAAGGAATTCATTTTTATTAACAGATGATAATTAATTAAGTTTGTTTGTTGAAGGTGAGGTTGTCTAAAATACAGAGATGTTAAAAAGTGTAAATAGCAAATATGCTGGTGTTTATATAAAAAGATCTAATTATGAAATAGAAGCTGTAGAAAATAATGGAAGAAAAACTTAATAAAGAAAATAAACTAGTAGAACAACAAATACAACAGATTCCTTTACTTTAAAATCATAAACAAATGAAAACCTTATGATAAACAATTTTTCTAACACTATCATTTTACCAAAAGTTTTAAAGCATTAAAAAATAGATCAGATTATAAATCCCCCTGAAATTAAAACTATAATGAGAGAGCCTTAAACGTAAGACATATAATATTATTAGAGATGCAGAAAAAGCAGAGTTTAAATAGGGAAACATATAGAAATTTTTAACTACTATTTCAAAAATTGGAGTTGTTATAGAAGAAGAAATTTTATGTGAAGGAACTTTCATTTGTGTTTATGGAAATGTTATATGGGATAAAGTCTAAAATACTTTTATAATAACAGCTCCTAAATATTTTGGTGTTAGTAAAGAATAAATTATTGAATATTTTGAAGCGGATTAATACTTTTTAAAATTTATAGGAATATTATTAGCTATTGGAGGAACAGTATTAATAAATTTATAAATAGGCCTTTTCTATTTTTGCATTAAAATATTTATATAAGACTTTATCTAATAATGAAGACAATAAAAAAGTGAAGTAATGAATCTTAAAAACAAAATGAATTATCATTAGATCACATTATCATAGCAGAAAATCACACTATTAATTATTTGTTATTATTATTAATTTATCCATATTCTTCTATAATAAATTATAGATATTATATTATTTTTATTTAAAATTTAAATAAATTCATTATTGTTCTTCTTCCTCTTCTTAAATTGTTTACATTTCTACCTTTTTTAAAACTCTCTTTTTTAATTTTATACCTGATTTTAAATTTCTCCATTTTATTGCTAATAATTCTTTATTTCTAGCTAATAATTCATCTTATTTATCTTATGCTGAATTAATATTCTCTTTCCAAGCAACTAATTCTTTTGATAATTCAATTAATTATTAACTTACATTAATCCCTTTTACAATTTAAATATTCAATTCAGAAAGTTTTTCTAATAATAAATTACAAAAATGTAGATCTATAGAATCAACTGCTCCATGTCTTTGATTTAAGATATCCCTAAAATATAATTAAATCTTACTCTTAAATAGCAAATGCATTTTTAATATTATTTTCTAATTTAATATCTTTGTTATTCAAATTTTTGTAAAATTCTTTAAGATTCAATTAATAAAATTATTAAAATTTTACAATTTAATTTTATAATTAAAATTTAGGTAGAGCTTTACTTAAATATTTTGATTTGGCTATATATTATTTATGTATTAACCATTTTTTAATTAAATTTTATCCATTACTTTTTATTTATTCAGATTTCGTTTAATAATTTTCCCAATTTTATAAACAAGTATTATAAATTTATTCAAGTTAATGTTATTATTTTGTATTGAATATTTATAGATGAGTGATTTATAAGTCTAAGTATTGATTTATGTATATTGATTTTTATTGTTTTATAAATTCATTTTATCTAACTTGTAGATCTTTTAATATAATTACTTTAAGTCTTTGATAAAATTTATATTTAGAATCAAATTCTATTATTTTAGATATTTATTCTTTGATTTCATTTGTTAATATAGGTAAATTGATAACGAAAATAATAAGTAATATATTACCATAATATTCATAATGTTCAGAATTACAATTATCAAGGAATTATCCTAAAAGTTCTAAATATTCTAAAAGAATCTCATCATTTTATATTTTAAATATAGGAGATTCAATTTGATGACCTTAAATTCCTTTTACAAATTCAACAAATATTAAAGGAATATAAATTTTTAATTTCTTTTCTTCAAGAATTGAAATTAGAATTGATATCCCTACCCTAATTAAGTGATATAGCCATTCATCTAAAAATAATTTATTCTAAAGATCAACACTAAATTCTGCAAAGCAAACAAAAAGATCTTCTGTGATATTATATTCTTAGCATTCTAGAAATTCCATATATTTTATATAAGGGTTAGTTTAGATTGGTTTTTTCATTTATTAAAGTGTAAATATAGCCAAAGGAAGTTCATTGATATAATTTAACAAATTTATTGCTAATACTATTTTCTAGTGACTTAATTAATCTTGAGACTTATGAAGGAGGGAAATACTTTCATTGATAAATAATTATTTAGTTGAAGATGGTATATTTGGATTTCTAATATTAGTCTTAATTAATATCTTAAAAAGGTCTAATTAATGTAGAGATTTTATTTAATTTAGAATAGATGATGAATGTCTGTCGATTTCTAAATTTTTGATTGATGCATCATTGAAATTTTTGAATTTTTGAATATTTATTTATTTAGGAAGAAAAACTATTGGTAATATATTTTTTTATTTTAATTCTAAGTAATACAATTGTTAAAAGACTGGTAAATGAGAACCTCTGTATAAATTTTAAGGGATTTACTATTATTAACTACCATATGTCAAGTAAAAACTTTTAAGTTATTCTGATATTTAATAGAATTGATTAGAGAGATTCTAAATAAAGGATTTATGGATAGTTTTTAGAATCAAGTTGTAAGGAATTAAAATATATTCAAATCCTATATCAATAAATTTTAACTCTTATTAAGTGTTTTAAGAGGGATCCTTTTAATTTTCTTTTGATTATGAGTGTAAATATGATACTAAGTCAGAAGTCAAATATACAAGGGCATATTAAGAATAATGATCCATAATTTCTCCTTTTGGTAATGAAAATTAATATAAAAATCCAAATGAATCAATTATATTTGAATTTTTACAAAATAATTACAATTTATTTAAAAAGTAAATTTGAATTTCAACAAGTTAAGTTATGTCTACTAGTTTTTATTTTTCTTAAGATGTATTAATTCTTTTTAAGATTAAATGAGATAAAATTATTGATTCAATTTAATTCAATTATTAAGTATAATTAAGATTTGAATTATTTTTTAGTTGACTATTTAATATGATATCTTTTAAAATTTCTTGGTTTAAGTGTTATTAATTATTGAAATAATTAATGGTAGTTGAAAATATTGGGTTGAAATTTGAATTTTTTAATTAAAGAGCTTCTTAAATAGCATAAAAATATTAATATTTATTTAAATTAAATTCTTCCTATTCATTAAGTATTTTATTTTATCTATTATCTTTGATTTTCTATATAATATTAAAAATATCTTGATAACTATTAAATGATCTACATAAATTGTATGCATGATCATAATTTAATTAATATATAACTGTCTTCCAATACCCTAAACCAATTAATTCTTTATAACATGTAATTCCAAAACTATTTGATGAATTAAGTTATTCTTCATATTTGAATTACAAGAATTTAGGATTAATAGATTCTAATATATTATTAATAGCTAATTATGAAACTGCTGCTTATTATAATATTTATTTTCTATATAATTTATTTGCAATAATCTAATAATTATCTTTTAAAGGATTCCTTGTTAATGGAGTATAAAGAGAAGCCAATGAAACTAAATATCTACCTATATGTTAAGCTAATTTAAATTAATTGCAAACATAAATGCATAATTTATAACTTTTAAATTATTCTAATAAATCTAGAATTAAATAGATAGTATCAATATCTATATTATCTAAATCATATAAGAAATTGATCATATGATCAAACTCTTTCTCTTCTCCAGTTCTATTTGATAATAAAGTAGCCTTGTGTGTCTGTTTTTCAATGTGAATCTTAAATTCATCAGAAAAAAATTAAAATTTTTAAACTAATTATTATAAAACATTATTCTTAATAAAGATATTAGATCTTGATTTTAAGAGTGAAACATTAGATGGTTAATTTAATAATAAAACATTTGAAAATTGTGATTCAACACTAGAGGTAGCAATAGATTTGATTAAAGATTTTTAGTTATTTTTTAACCATTCATCTTCTGGATCAAAAATTGAAAGATGATCAAAAGATTCTTCATTTTAAACTTAAAAGGATTCTGAGTCATCAATTTCAATAATATCTTATTTGTTCTATTTTAATATACTAATTTAAGATGTTTCAATATTATTATTAATATTCTCTTCTTAAACTTATTGTGATTCATTTATCAAAGAATTCTATATTTAGAAACTTTAAGATTAATCATTAATATCTTCTTAAATTATACTAGTCTCTTCAATTAAATTCTACTCTTCCATTTCTTTTTCCTATTGTTCAATCTACTCTGTCATTTCTTAAAGAAAACTAGGAAAAAATTTATTCAAGAAAGCCATTCTTTCATCAATTGTAAATTCATCCTTATGTAAATTTAATAATTCAATAATTCTCTACCAATTATTAGCTTTTTTAAAACAATCAAGTGCTCTTCTAATATCATTAATTTAATAAAATAGATCTGCAGCCTCTTCAAAATAACCAGCAAAATATGCAGATTCAGCAGTTTCACTTTTACAATTAGTCAATTTATATTATTCATAAGCTTTATTATATTCTTTACCTGAAAAATAACATTGAGCTGCTCTTAAAGGAAAATTAATCTGTTCAAATAATTTTGCTGCTGCAATATAATTAGTTTTATTCTCATTAAATATATTAGCTTAAGTAGCTAAAAAATAAGCTCTAGATTTAATTGCTAGTTCTTCATCACCAGAAA